CTTGATTTTGTTAATCATTGAGCTTCTTAAGTTTAAAGTTTAGGACTGTCAAGAATCTGCAGCTAATATAGTAAATCAGAATTTCTAGTCCCTTTTCATTAAGTTAACCTTCAATGCTGGAATATCAACCATTACATGCTGTTAAGGATTTATATCTCCAACCAACATGAACTTTACAGACAACAAACTTGAAAGCAAATTTACTATCACAGGGATTAGTGTAGTTGGTTAATCTGAAGGATAGGTCAAATAGTTGACAAGATAAGCATTGCTGTTGGCAATGAGGACTCGAACCCAGGACCCACCATTTTGTGCACGAACACCTAACCTCTAGACCACCAAGCCAGACTTTCTAAGTAAGCAGCAGATAAACAAACGTTCAAATAGTGATACATATGTGAAAACTGTACATCATATGAATAAACACAAATAAATAATATAATTGAAGTGACACAATCAATTGTTACATGATTTTTTGGCCTCAAATTTGGTTTAAGCATAAACTTGTAAAGTAAATCCATCATATGACTGCAAGTTTGTGTGAATATGTTTTCTGAGAAAGTGAGTTTATTCCACGATAACCTCTGATACGTCTTAGGGGATCCAGATTTTATTCCCACTGTAAACATCTTATCCATAAATGGAAGTATGCTTTAGGGATGGCTTTCAGGGTCGAATTCCAACGAAAGTGTGAGTTTCTTCGACAGCCCAGATTTTTCTTATTAATCCATTTTATATGTAGTTGAAATCATGAGTCAATTGAAGCTAGACCACCATGGAAAACCTGGAAGCACTAGATGTCCGTTTCGTCCTATAGTGGCACTCCTCAGAAATGCGCATCCATGATCCCACCTCGGTCGTCCAGTGCTTCCAGGTTTCCCACGGTGGTCTAGCTTCAATTGACTCATGATTTCAACTATATATACAAATTAATTAAAATCTCCACGAAAAACCTCCTAATTCATTTTAATTGATGAATGTTCCTGATTTTTAACTAACTAACTAACATGTTGATTATTCGTTGCCTAATCGTGTCCTTAATGTTGGCCAAGTTCTTTCAATCAACTTACAAGTATACTCGACTCTCAAAAATGTACAACACCTCTGAATATTAAGGGTTTTAGAAGTAACTTACCTTCTGGAAGTCCCACTCGACCTCATCAGTAATATATGCCAATGTTCCTGAGGCATATTTGATGGGGTTCATTGAATTTGAATCTAAATTATACAGTGTCAGAATAAGACAGATTACCATTGAGCTATTTCTCAATTCATTCAAATCAAAGATTTCAGTTTATTTTATGCTGATTATTTCCAACTAGCAAGTAACGTCGTAGATTCAAAACTTTATGCTGATTGTATCCAACTGCTTGATGTCACAACTGACAATCATTTCATTTGTTACAGAATACTCATTTCTTAAACAACACACACATTTACCTTTCATAATTATATATAGATTCTTATCTTTCTTATCCCCCCTTCCTTTTACAAAACTATTCAAAGTTACAATACAAAACCTTAAACTGAAATTATTTCTCCTAAAGTTTATCCTTCATTCGGTTGTTTATTTTCTTCTTCTTCACAAATGTTCCCAATGGATTATTACAAGTCTTTTTTCCCCTTTCTTTCTTTCTTTCTGTATACCCATGGGAATGTACAATCAATGTACAAATATACATATACGCTTGTGTGTATTATAGTGAGTTCATTTCTAGATGAGCAGTTATTGGTATCGATTTAATGTGAGTTGTGTGTGCTACTCTCTCTCTCTCTCTGAGTGTGTGTGTGTGTGTGGGTGTGTGCATGTTCCATCATGCAATGTAGCATATAAACAATACAACTTCTATACAAACTAATCATAATAATGACAATAATAATAATAATGGTACTAAGGTAGAAATTTCTTATTTACTCTTTTATATATTCCCTTGTGAATAAACAATGTAATATAATACAAAAATTCTTTATTAACTATATAAATCTCAATGGAATAAAACAACAGAAAGAAAGAACTTTTTCTATATGTATATATACTAACTTATTCATTTAACTTTATTCTGTAGTTACTGACTAATCATCATAGAGAAGAACAGTTTAGACGATTATCCATAATTATTTCCTATTTTGAGTAAATCAATTTGATCAAATACATAGTTTTGATTATTTTTGTTTTAGATGTGTTGTTTTACTATACTTAAGAAATCAGAACAACCATAGAAAATAAGTAGGAATTGAAGATTTTTTTAGTTCAATGTATCCACTTAACTATGATCCAGTTAATTTGTATTATCTCGACTTCATAATTATAAATTATACTTGGTTAGTGATCCCCATTATATTAATAGATTATTATTTGAATGAAGAATATGCTTTTCCATCAATCCGTCTCAAGTTATACAATGATATATATTTTCATAGTTGAAAGCGTGAGTCATTTGAAGCTAGACCACCAAAAAAACCTGGAAGCACTAGACGGCCGTTTTGTCCTATTATTGGACTCCTCAGCAGTTCACATCCACGATCCCGCGCTCGCGAGCGAGATTCGAACCCAGCACCTACCAGTCTCGCACCAGAGCACTTAACCGGTAGACCACTGAGCTGGCCGGCATTCGATGGCGTTAATGTCTAACTTCAACCAATCCACGAAGTTGAGCAACCGTTCACCAATTGTATTCAGTGAGTTCCTATCTCACAACAGACGGAATCGTGGGATCGTGGATGCGCACTGCTGAGGAGTCCAACAATAGGACGAAACGGCCGTTCAGTGCTTCCAGGTTTTCCATGGTGATCTAGCTTCAATTGACTCACGCTTTCAACTATGAAAATTCTTAACTTATTTGATTAGAAGATCAGATTTATATAAATATAAACAATATAAACAAGACAGTTCTACTGTATGGAGCGGAAACTTGGAGAATTACGAAAGCCATTATCCAGAAGATACAAGTGTTTATTACCATTTGTTTACGCAAAATACTTCGGATCCGTTGGCCAGACAATATCAGCAACATTCTACTGTGGGAGAGAACAAACCACATTTCAGTGGAGGAAGAAATCAGGAAGAAGAGCTGGAAGTGAATAAGGCATACTTTGAGGAAATCATTGAACTGCATCACAAGACAAGCCCTCACATAGAATCCTAAAGGCCAAAGAACATATGACGCAGAGAAATGGAGACAGACATGAGAAGAATGAACAAAAATTGAATAGAACTAGAAAGGAAGGACAGATTGGGTTGGAGAACGCTGGTCGGCGGCCTATGCTCCATCGGGAGTAACAGGCGTAAGTAACTAAGTAGTATAAAGTACTAGAATGTTTGATAAGCGTTTTAACCAATATAAAGCTTGTAAACCCTCTATCTTTTCATCCGTTTTGTTTGTTTTAGTAAAGATTAGACTAGGACAAGGATATACGTAGTAAAGTAGTCGAACGCGTCGACAACTTCACTTATCATGGAAATCTGATCAGCCCTAAAGGGTTGGTGTCTGACGTAATCTCAGCACGGATTCAAAAAGATCGTTTGGATTTTGCCAACTTACGTCACCTATGGCGAAGACGAGATATTCGTCTATCAATTAAAGGACGAGTATACTGCGCAGCAGTTTGCTCTGTTCTACTTTACGGCTGTGAAACATGGCCATTAAGAGTAGAAGATACTCGTAAGTTACTAGTATTTGGCCATAGATGTCTTAGAAATATTGTTCGCATCTGTTGGGATCACCGGGTAAGTAAAAGTGAGTCAGGTTATATGCCAGGGTATTAGTGAATGATGGTAAATCAGTCGATGAGGTCATGAATCTTCATTGACTCAGATGTTTGGGCCACGTGTTATGTATGCCTGAACACTGATTACCACGACACGCTATGCTGACTAGTATTAGGTATGGTTGGAAGAGAGTTAGGGGCGGCCAAACCAAAACGTGGCATCAGTGCTTGAAGTCACTAACTTCTAGTTTGAGTCATGTTGGTAGATGCAGAATACCTGGTTGGGGTCCATGTAACTATCGTAACCAAAGGTTGGAGACTCTAGGTGACATGGCTCAGAATCGATCAAAATGGCGTAGGTGTATACACTCTTTATCTTCCCTTAAACCTTGAGATTGAAGTTGCTTCATATCTGTCTTTCTTCCTATACTATATCCTTATATACAATCTTTCTTTCCTATATTACCATCACTAAATTAACTATTTCTATGAATCCGGTGTTCATCTTGTTGTGCTAATGAGTGAGGTATGGCAACTTGGACCGATACATATGTGTGTCTGATCTTACGTTGTAGCTGACTGACTGATATATATTATATATTCATCTACTCTTCAATAAGAGTTGAAATCGTGCAAACTATGTGAATATATATTATTATACAATTGACTTTTACAATTTATTATAGTGTAGCTAATCACCAACGTATATTTACATAAACACGTACATTTATTGATCTTTCATTTTGATTACGTAATAGGTTATAATAATTATAATTATATATGATATGACGACCTGCTTAAACATCTCGGTTACCTATTCCTACTATCTAGATATTTCAACAAGTGTATAACCTTTCCGTTGTATAAGTTACAAAAGGTTCAACCAGAGATATCGTGATTCCCGGCTGACAATATACACCAAAAACAATGTACATGATTTAGATTTTGACTAACTGAACTATTAACATCTAACTGATGATCATTCAATCCTTGTTGTCAAGATTGATCAAGAAGTTATTCAATTTAAAAATCTATTACTAAGAGAATGTTAAAAAAATTTTTCATTTTCCAAAAAAAAATATTAAAAAAATGACTGACCTGAAATTTCATTGCTTTAATTAAGTTTTTTTTTACATTTTGAAGAGAGAGAGATTGGGGGGGAGGAGGGAAAGATGAAAATAATTTTTTTTTTAATTTTTTTCTCTTCATAGGTAAATCTTCTTCATACACACACACACACGCAGACAAAACAAAAGAAAACTAAAGGGAAAGAAAGAGTGTAAAGGAATGAAATGGAAGAAGAAGAGGAAGTAGAAGTAAGGTAAATTTGGTTCATTTAAACACTCTAAGTTTGTAAACTTTCAAGTTCATGTCAATATTGGTTGTTGTATTCATTGTGTATCTATACATCTATAAATGAGTGTATAGTAATTCCCTAAGGAGAATTATTTGAAAAGAGAAGGGTAACCCACAAAACCTTTTTCAACTCCCTAAGGAATATTAGCACAAAAATTGAATATATACCAAGAGACTAATTCGTTTGGGGAAAATAGTAGTGCATTCAAATATATATATATATATATATATTCAGTTGTATCAAGGGAGTTATAAAGAATAGATGAATATACATATACATATATACATAGATACTAAAGGGACTAACAGATCAATTTAAAAGGTTCTCTAGAATGCTTCAATGTATCTATGGTTGTATACTGATGTTTATAGATGTATATAGATATAACTATATAACATCTACATACAACCCCCCTCCCTCAATGATAACGGTAGATTTAAGTGGTTATTACATTATTAACCAATCATAAATGAGGATTTTGCTTAAATTGAGTTTATCTAATCATTTAAATAATAATAATAAACTCCATAGTGATTAAGAATTTATTAGAACATTTCAAGATTTTAGGTAAGTCATTCTCTTTTACTATAACCATAGTTAATAAAGTGTAATTTTTGAGCCTTTTAAAAAAAATATTATTGTGTATAGTAAGCAAAGATGGATAGTGGCTAGCAGTGGAATCAAGTTTGAAGTGCGTTTCATCCTATTTGAGACGCGTCAGCTGAATGTACTTGCATCTCAGAGTTGATGTTCACTCTGGGACTCGAATCCAGTACCGTTCGCTTCAAATGCCATCGTGTTATCCAATCGGCCACTGAGTCCTGATAGCCATTTGCTTGTGCCATGGAGTGAACAAACAATACTAAATGAATGTTATTGTGCATGTTTGATAAGCAGATTAGACCAAGATGATGATCTGAATATACATGATAAGAAATGATTGATTTGATTGATATACAGTTCATGGAGTCACTCACTTCTAGTTTGAATCATGTTAATAGATGTAGATTATTTGGTTGGAGTCCAGGTGACTATCGTAATCAATGATTGGAGACTATAGGTGATATGGATTAGAATCGATCATAATAATGTAGGTGTTTATGCACTCTTTGTCTACATTAATTTCTACGAACTATTTCTTTCTGTATTATATCCTTATGTACAATCTTTCATTTATATAGTCAGTCTGCTACATATATACATCGGTCCAGGTTGCCATACCTCATTAACACAACAAGATGACACAACGGATTCATAGAAGTAGTTAATTTAATGGTGGTAATATATAAAAGAAAGATTGCATATAAGGATATAGTACTACCATCAAAGTGACTACTTCTGTGTATTTGGTGCTGATCTTGTTGTGCTAATGAGATTATGGTAACTTGGATCGATGCATATATGTGTGCCTGAACTTACGTTGGAGCTGACTGATTAATACTATTCTTATTATTGTTAACAGTATTAAGAATAATACAAAATCTTCAGTTGTATTGATAAACTATTGACTTATTTCTGATGAAATTTGCTTTATTTAATATCAACTTGATCAAATAATAAATATTTTTAAATTCAATGAATTGGATTTAAACTTCACTCCATTGCACAAACAAATGGCTATCAGGACTCAATAGCTGAGTGGATAACGCGATGGCATTTGAAGCGAAAGGTACTGGATTCGAGTCACAGAGTGAACATCAACTCTGAGATGCAGGTATATTCAGCTGACGAGTCCCAAATAGAAGGAGACGCGCTTCAAACTGGATTCAACTGCTATCCACTATCCATCTTTGCTTACAATAAATATTTTTGCTGGTAATCCCTTGACTGAATAAAGATTGGTTTCAATAGAAAGTAATCTATATAGATCTATGAATTCCTAGAAAATATTCAATGAGTATTGGATTATTAGACCGTTCTAATTTTCAGTTATTTAAGGATTGTTAATCTATAACCTTCCCATTGGTTTAGAAACTGTTACTTTTAGGCTTTAAATTCACTTAATATTGTTTACTTGTATCTTCCTAGAATGAACATCAACTTTAGTCAGTCAGTTACAACGTAGAACGAGGCACATATATGCATCGGTCCAAGTTGCCATAACCTCATCAGCACAACAAGATGAACACCGGATTCATAGAAATAGTTAATTTAGTGATGGTAATATAGGAAAGAAAGATTGTATATAAGGATATAGTATAGGAAGAAAGACAGATATGAAGCAATTTTAATCTCATGGTTTAAGGGAAGATAAAGAGTGTATACACTCACGCCAACATCAACTTTAGAATGCAGATATACCCAGTTGATGAGTCCGAAATAGGATGAGACGCTTGTCAAACTTGATTCTACTACTAGCCATTATCCATCTTTGCTTAATTTGAAGTTGTAATAATTTTTACTGACTTATTCATCTGTAAAGTAAAATCTAATCTTTGTAGATATATGTATGTTTTTAAGTTTGTCTTCTTTCATAAGTATTACTGTCATTTTATATCCATTTTTGGCATTTAAATACTCTGTTCATCTTAAACTTCTTATTCGAGTCCTTCTAATTCCTTGACTTTTAATTTGCCTGATATCATTTCCATTAACATTCCTGTCTAATAGAGTCAGTCTTTCAATGATAAGATACGAGAACCATGTATTTTAATTACTTACTTACTTACTTACGCCTGTTACACCCAATGGAGCATAGGCCGCCGACCAGCTTTCTCCAAATGAATGATTTTTCTGGTTAGCGTTTTTTTAGCGAGTTGATTTTCTACGGGATGAGGTCGCTAACCCCATGCCCAACCCTCCTCCTTTACGCGGGCTTGGGACCGGCAGTAACCCCCAGAGGAGCTACAGGCGGAGTTATGTATTTTAATTAGTTCACCTAATTGATATCGTAATGGATTGTTGGTTTATCAGTTATTCCATACTCTTTCTATCATCACTCTGATCTTACTGACTCGGAGCAACTATGTACTGTTATCATTTGCAACATATCATTTAGTAATATAAAAAAATATAGAATTAGACAATCATTTCATACCAGTAGAGGACTTGACAGTTATATCTACTAATAGCTCTGATATGAATCGAACCCACGATTTTCTATAACTCGTACTGGGTACTGAGTGAAGTAATAAAATCTGACTCTAGTAGCACATTAAACTAATACTTTAGATTCAAGTACCTTGATTACATCTATATTTTAACAAAGTATACTTTTACTGTTGACCGAATCTATGTTTTTTATGAAAATTTAAACCTGCCTAATTAACGAATCATTCACATAGCATTGAATTTAATACTTGGAAATATTGTACTAAAGGAGAACATAAGAGGGGACTATTGAATGTAATTGAACACAAATTTTACGGAACATCTTAGTTAAATCTGAGAAGTATATAGTAAATACTTCATTTACAAAAAGTCAATCAATTGTTTCGGACTTCAGTGTTCCTTCATTTTCACAGTAATCATTCTTTGTTCTCGTTCACTTTCCTTCGATGTTCTTAACCTTCTGCCATCAGGTATTTCACTTTGTATTGATAATACATATTAATTATATCTGTCGACATCAGTAGCACACACCATATTCGTCTCACCTTTTAGTCAGTCGTTCTTGCGATGGTTGTACTTGCCGTGTTACTTTCTTCTCTTCTACAGTCTATGTAATATTCGCCGACAAAATATCGAATCTGTGGAGCGTTGACCTTCATAGCCTTGTCTTTTACTCCTCTTAAAAAGGAAAAGTACATAAATGAATGAATACAAATAATATATATATGATTAATCTCATTTTATCGAAATATTCTTGGAGGTCAAGTAGTACTACAACAGCTTCTTTATCAGGTTTACTTAGGATGAAATCTTTATTTCTTTTCAGAAGCATTAGCTAATTCAAATGTGTTGTATCCCTAAGAGAATGGTGAATGGTAACTTATGAGGACTATTTGTGGACCAATGTAATATGTATATTTCCTATTGTATAATTGTTAAGTAACTAACCTAATCACATTTGTGTTCCTCTTATCATGAGCTTTATTTTGATGTTTGATTTATTATCATACGATTCTTGAGTTATCATCAGTTTATTGATTACTTTCCCCCCTATTCACAGTTACATGTGGCCAAATCTTGTACAAATGTTATTTCCTATTTTATTAGTACGATGTGGTCACTCTGTTTGGCATATAAACTCAATATCTTTGAAATACAATGATTTATACCACAAAGGCTGTTATTTGTGTTCTGAACTTAACTGTCTGGGCTAGGCAGAAAGCAGGACCGATCAGCACTCTAGACTGCTCATACGGTTTTCGTGTGTCAATTCCAATCGATAATCCGCTGCTCCATGATTGTCAGTCTCATCAAGTCACACATTAACTAGGCATCCACTCGGCCACAAGATATAACAAAATGATTTTTAGTTAATAAATTATTCTTACTACATTGTATATTAACGTATGTATGATCTTGTGCCGACATCCCCACGAAAACTTCAGCATATCAAATCCACATATATATCATTGTCTAATTTCCTTTTTGTTGTTTTTTTTTTAAAAAAAAGGGGGAAACAAAGAAGAATGTATGATTTACATAAGATTAATGAAATCCCTACTATTAAATCAGAATTAAATATACCATTAGATTTACGTCTTTATAATAAATTAAATAAAACAAAAAAATTTAAAATAAAACATGAAAAATTTAAAAAATTTTATAAATCTAAATCATATTTATCTAAACAAAAATTGAAAAATAATCATCCCCAACAATACTATTACCAACCTCAGCAACAACACCGTCACCACTACCTCCAGCAACAACAACACCATCAGCGCTCCCAACAACAACAACAACAAGAAGACCACCACCCTCAGCAACAAGACCACCAACCCAAACAACAACACTTATTTTATTCATCTATTGATTCAAATATATTAATTTGTTCAATATGTCATATGGAAACAATGAATTTTAATATATTTGTACAACATATGTCATTACATTTAAATCAATCTAATTTATCTAATCAATTATTAAATGAATTTATTACAATAATAAATCAAAAAATATTTAATAATAATAAAAATAATCAATTATTATGTAATATATGTAATCATCTATTGAATATAGATCAATTTACAGAATTAATGGTATGTATTTCCCCCCCCCACTCTCTCTCTCTTTTTTTTTTCTTTCTTTTTTTTTATTGATTTAATAAAAGATAATAAAGTGTAGTACCGTGCTTCATAAATTGTTCACCTTGATAAATGTTATAATATAAATCTTAACGGTGTATAATAATGTCAGAAGGTGAAGAGTAATGGTAACTACATTTTTATTATAGTTGAAAGCGTGAGTCAATTGAAGCTAGACCACCATTGAAAACCTGGAAACACTGGACGGTCGTTTCGTCCTATTATGGGATTCCTCAGTAGTGCGCATCCATGAAACCTGCTCTCGCGAGATTCGAACCCAAGGCCTACCAGTCACGAACCGAAGCCTTTAACTGATAAACCACTGAGCTGGCATCCAATGGTGTTAATGTCTTACTTCAACTGATCCACGAAGTTGAGCAACCATTCAACAATTCTCTTCAGTGAGTTCCTCTATCTCACAACAGACGTGGTTTTGAACTCCACTGGTCACTGCTTCTCACTAGAGCTCCTAGTTATAGTTCTCGAAGTCACTAGTGAGCATATGATTATATTAATTATCAGAAGGGGTTTTGTGGAGATTTAGTATTTATCATAGTTGACTCAAGCTTTCAACTATGATAAATACTAAATTTCCACAAAACCCCTTCTGATAATTAATACATTTTTATTGACAAATCATGAAGGCCAGAAAACTGTGAGCATAGGAGTAAATGTTAGCGAGCGAAATATGACATATGACACATACATTGGAGATGGCTGGTAAGCCAACTACTCAAAAGAGTGAAGCGAAAGATAATGCGTATTCGAGATGGTGAGAAAGCCAACTCACTTTAAGCAAGCGTTCATAAATATTTATAGTCAGGCAAAAATGAATGACAGACATATGGTAATTGGAATAAGAAGGTTACACACAACTACGCTCATACAAAATGGTCAGGATTAATAAGTGAATAATTGACAAGATCAAAATATGATTCAAAATGTATAGGTGAATTGGCTTGGTCAGAAGATAGAATAAAGTATATGGGCTTAACATATAAACTGATACTAAAAATGATTTAATGTGATGATGTATGCTATTGATGTTGATAGATATAAGTAGTATATATCATTCATAGAAAATGATATGTATGGAAGTAGAAGGTTAAGAAGGTGAAAGAAAACATTGTTTATTTATTTATTTGAACATATTGATACAAAGGGGGCACCAGATATATATGCTCCACACAAATCTCATTTGATTTGTGTGAGGGCTATGGTTTTCTTAGGGGGAGCCTTTGACTTAAAAGTCTAATCCACGAAGTAGTGAAGCCTCGTGAGATCTGATCCACAAGACAGTGGAGCATCGTAAAGAGATGCAGTCCCATGGTAGTCGGTGACCAACGATAGGTTCATACGCCATTTGTTCCTTCAGGAAACTGGAGCCCATGTACACCATTGGTTTGGAATCAGAGTTTTCTCGCTCCCCTAGGTGAACTTTGCGTGTTCACCAACCCGGTTAAAGAACCAGACATTCGCTTTTCATCCTCTCAATTTCGTAAACAACAGTAATGCCACGAGAATGGAGTGAGTAGGACTTCCCTGGGAGAGGCTATATATGCGTGGTCATGTACGAGCATTCCGAGTGGGCGGGTCCTCCCTACTCTCAGCCGTACCAAAGCTTTTGGGGGCCCAAAGAGAAGAAAACAAGAATAGATAATGATGAGTGTTGAAACGAAAGAATAATGAAATCTGATACTACTGATTGACATTTTTAAAATGTAGTATTTACTATATGGTTCTCAGATTTTACTAAGATGTTCTGTAATTTTGCATTCAAACACATTCGATTTTCTCCACTTGTGTGTTCTTGTTCACTACAACATGATGCTCAATTGACTTAAGCCTGATCCATCATATTTTACATAACACCAATATGGATAGTCACACGGAGGCTGAAAATCTGTACTCATCACTTTAAAATGAGAGCATTTTATTGCGTACTATATATTTTTACTTGTACTTACATATTGATGACACTTTACACAGTAGCTAACAATAGAATCGTGAAAGGTTGTTTTATTCTGTTAAGACTTGACAGCTAAGTGTTGTTACTATTGTACTTTAATAAGTTAGAGAAGGTTTCAGTTAAAATATCGATAGTTGGATTGATGAACGCTAGTTTCATATCTTATGTCAAGAGAAAAAGGACAATTTCAAACGAATTCTATGAATTGTATCATTAAACGAAGACGTTGTTACTAAAAATGTTTCAATACTAGAATTAACAAATGAGATTATTTATATTCAGATAAGATGGTGGTTGGAGGTAGTCAACAGGAAACCATGGACATATGTTTCATGCAACATGACTCTGGTCAGCATGGTGTACCTGTAATCTTGAGGAAACTGATGCTTCCTGGTGTATTCGATCCCGTGTCACGCAGCTTCACAGTCAGTCAATTGTAAATACATATCAGACCTATAGCAGGTCAGTCGCAGCTCAGGTAGCCCAGTGGTAACATCTCTGGCTGTGAAGCAGGGTGACATAGGATCGAGTCCGTCAGGGAGTATCAGTTTCCTCAAGATTACAAGTACACCATGCTTAACAGAGCCAAATTGCACGAAACCTATGTCCATGGTTTCCTGTTCACTACCTTCAACCACCGTCTTACCTCAACATAGTACACAGTGTCGAGTCACCTAGACTAGTAGCCACATTGCCACTTGGTCGATAGTATTTGATATGCACTGAGAAGAACTTGACACACATGACATTGATCACCACCCAGTGATTATTCAATTGTAAATTTTTTATGTAAGAATGACCATAAAGTTAACATTTTACATCTAACTTTTTCCCCAAATTTTGAAGGTAATATGTAGATTTGAATGGAAGTGCTATTTTGTCTGTCTTCTTCAGCTTCCAGTTGCCCATTTGATAACATTCCACTAAATTTTCAAACGATTAACAAACTTAGTCAGGTGGACTGAATTAATTCAAGAACATTCATCCTATCAATATCAGTCTAGTTAGATTTAGAATCCAAGCAAAATATTTGAAGTTAACGGTCATCTATATAAATCTCTGATGAAGTTTTGTTCTCTGAGCTGGATGGTTTGGTCGTGGAGCTTTCATTGTCCTTCTGAACGACATCATCAGAACAGATTTCGGATAGAAGTTCTCTGATTTCACTTTGTCATCGTGCACAAAACCTTGTTTCAGGACCGTCTAAAGGCTACATCCTGTTAACCATTATACATCATAATGTTATTTGTAATAATTTCTCGTTAATTATATTTTTTCGAATAACTGTTAAAAATCCACTTCAATAAATGTTAAACTAGTAAATTCTGAATATTTTATAGTTGAAATAATGAGTCAATTGAAGCTAGAGCACCATGGAAAACCTGGAAGCATTGCTTTAAGGCCGTTTCGCCCTATTGTGAGACTCATCAGCAGTGCGCATACACGATCCCGCCTCGCGAGATTCGAACCCAGGACCTATCAGTTCAGTGGTGTTAATGTCTAACTTCAACTAATCCACGAAATTGAGCGACATATCCACCATTATCTTCAGTGAGTTACTATCTCAAAACAGACCTGGTTGAACTCTACTGGTTACTGCTTCACATTGGAACTCCGAAAACTACCTCTTGGAACCAGTCACTGAATAACTTAACTTCGTTTCTCAATTAGATCAAATAAATATCTGATGTATCACAAGGGAGTTTTTGTGGAGATTTTAGTAATTTTATATAGTTAAGATCTTAACTATATAAAATTACTAAAATCCCCACAAAAAACCCCGTTGTAATAATGATCATATGCTCACCAGTGACTGGCTCCATGAGGTGATTCCTGGAGTTTTAGTGAGAAGTCGTGGCCAGTGGAGCTAATCCATGTCAGGTAGAAACAGGTATCTACCTCAGTAAAATGGAAGTTGGTCGCGCAATTTCGTGGATTGGTTGAAGTTAGACATTAACACCGTTGGATGCCAGCTCAGTGGTCTATCGGTTAGATGCTCTGGCGAGAGACTGGTAGGTCCTGGGTTCGAATCTGGCTAGGCGGAATCGTGGATGATCACCGCTGAGGAATCCTACAATAGGACGAAACGGCCTTAAAGCAGTGCTTCCAGGTTTTTTTGGTGGTCTAGCTTGAATTAACTCATGATCTTAACTATATAAAATATCTGATGTGTTCTTTTTTGTTTTTTTTTAAAACCTTCAGAATCATTTACAAAATCAACATATTGTAGCTAATTATCATTGTAATGGATGTGAAGAAATTTTTTCTGATCAAATTCAATGTCTTGTACATATTCTATATCATCATATTATAACAACAAAATCAGTAATTCCGGATAATGATACTACTAATAACTTAAACAGTAGTAGTATTAGTAGTACTAGTAGTACTATTACTACTATTACTAATCATGATAATGATACAACCAAATTAGATTCATACAATGAAAATAATAATACCTCATATAAATACCAACACTCAAATAGTTCACCATACACAAACATTCAATTACCTCATATTAGTACTAAGAACACAACAGTAATGAAAGAACCAGATTCTGATCTAATAAAATACACTAAAAATAACCCATCGCTACATGAATATCCAGATCATTCCAACTTACTTAATCAAAGTGATTGTAATCTAATGAATTCAAATGGACAAGAAGGTACTAAATTGAACCAAATCTCTAATCATCAACTACTTATAAATGAAAGCAGTAGTATAAATAAATTCGATCAAAATTATCCATATCAATTACAATCTATAATTCATTTTCTTAGTATGTTACTATGGCCTAATTTATGGTCTATTCATTGGAAACAATTAGATATACAAGGAATAGTGAATAAATATTTGAATTGTATTAATGAAGATATGAATATGATATCAAACACTAAAGAATCTGTGGTACCATTCGATATACCTTCAACAGTATCGTCGTTATCATCTATTCCCACCTTGTCATCATTACATGTAAGTTAATGTCATACTTATGACACTCTTATATCTCAAACATAGATTTTTTAGTCTGTCGCGTAATACTTCAGCATTAGAGCTCTGGAACCCTCCCAAGTCACAAATCAGAAGATGGAGGACAAGTAGAAGAAATGTTATTCCAAACAGTAGAAATGAAATTATCATTATAGTTATCCAATCCGCACACAGGGAGTTATCCAATCCGCACACAGGGAGTTATCAGCATTGTACAATAGGGAGGCTACACGTAGTGATTCTAGTATATTCTTCCCAAAGCAGATTGGATGGAATATGTCCTGCTCCTTCTGGGCTTCTTAGAGCTTCCTCGACTTCACCTGTGGACCATCCTCACAGATACTTTAAGAGATAGCTAAAAAAGTAGATTTAAATTCGTTAGAATATCATGAAATTTATCAATCTAAAGGTGTATTGTCAGAAGAGGGTTTTGTGGTGATTTTAGTAATTTAATATAGTTGAAATCATTAGTCAATTGAAGCTAGATCACCATGGAAAATCTGGAAGCACTGGAAGGACAATTTATCCTATTGTAGGACTCGTTAGCAGTGCTCATCAACGATTCCACCTAGCGAGATTCGAACCCAGAACGAAACGGCAATCCAATGCTTCCAGGTTTTCCATGGTGGTCTAGCTTCAATTGACTCATGATCTTAACTATATAAAGATGTATTCTCAAAGAGTTATTTTTAGATATGATAAATTTAAGCAGTAAGCAAAGTAATCATATAATTATCAGTATAGGGTTGTGGAGATTATAAAGTTTTTGATTGAGATTATGAACCGATTGATGTTAGATCAGCATTGAAAACCTAGAAGGTCATTTAGTTCTATTCTGAGATGCATCAACAGTGCTCATTCACGATTCCGTACTCGGGATTCGAACCCAACTCTTTCGGTCGCGCTCATGAACGCATCCAAAGGTGTTAATGTCTAACCTCAACCATTACACAAAATTTCGTGACCAACTTCCATTGTACTAAGGTAGATACCTGTCTCTAACTGACATGGATTAGCTTCAATGGTCACGGTTTCTCACTAGAACTCCGAGACTTTCCTCACGAAGCTAGTTACTAGTGAGCATATGTTAAGACGTTTTCTATTTTTTTGTTGCCAGTAATTATGTAAACAACATCATTATCTACGAAATGTATCTTACCAATCCTAGTAAGTAAAATCTAATTATGTAGCACTGAATTCGATATGTAACTTTAGATATAAACAAGTTATCATTGATTATAATAAGTTGATGAACCAAGCTTCCATAACTCTAAGGATCATATAGATGTTTTATACATCTTACTCTCTTGAATAATTCTGACTACCTCTGAAAACATTAGTTTTATAACAGTCTATTAAGTCAACAGGAAACCCTGTTAACTACCCCCCCCCAATCACACAATGTCGAGTTATCTAGACTACTGATCACATTGCAATTTGGTCGATACGATTCAATTAACACTAAGAAGGAACTGACATATATGATACTGATCACTATCCACGTATCATTCAATTCTAAAAATTCATATCCTTCTTGAATAATAAATAATATAAATCTATCCTTTAATCAATATTCCTATTTATTATTACAGTATCAAGAAACTGGTGAAATATCAGAACTAACACATAAAATAGTCGATATGGTATCATCAAACAGAATTGAAAGTAAAGAGTTCACCTTAGTAAATAATGAAAATCGAACTGAATTTCAACAAACATCAAATTGTGTACTTTTATTAAATTCACATCCTGTTCTTGGACTTTTACCACATGAAATGGCATCAAATATGGATAGTTATAAAGCATCAAAAATATGTCATCTTTGTTTAAAAGTAAGTTATCAATCATATATTTTATTTTATTTCAACACATAAATATTGGTACAAAGGGGGCACAGAATACATATACGCCGCACAAATCTCATTTGATTTGTGTGAAGACTGTGATACTGCCCGGGCGTCCAAATAGAAACAGGTAGTTTTCTCAGGCTACCACACCCGGAGACTTTGACCTACAGGTCTGATCCACAAGGTAGTGGAGCATCGTGAGGAGATGCATTCCCATGGTAGTCGATGACCAATGATTAATTCATACGCCATTTATTCCCTTAGGATACTGGAGCCTATGTGCAACATTGGTTTGGAATCAGGGTTTTCCAGCTCCCCTAGGTGGACTTACTGTGTCCACCAACCCGGTTAAAGTGTCGGACATCCGCTTTTCATCCTCTCAATTTCGTAAACAACATTAATGCCATGAGAAGGCACTAAGTAGGACTTCGCTGGCAGAGGCTATATACTCTTGGCCATATGAGAGCATTTGGAACGGAAGAGAGGACTTTCCAGGGGGCATTGGGGGCATTTTTTCAATTAAGCCAATAGAATGACTTATATGATTGTATTTATATAAGGAGATAGTTAAAAGGGGTTTTGTGGAGATTTCAATATTTTCATAGTTGAAATCATTAGTCCATTGAAGCTGAGGAGTGTTACAATAGGACGAAACGGCCGTCCAGTACGTGCAGGTTTTCCATGGTGGTCTAGCTTTAAGTGATTCATGATTTCAAGTATGATAATAAAGAGATAAGTTGAAACTATTATATCCTCATTTAATTTAAATGTTATATTTAGAGCTGGCAATTGTCAGTATCTTATGACCTGCCTGGATGCCTTCTTGATGAAAAACGTGATAAGATCATCAATTAGAGTTCAGTGATTTATTGATCGGCCCAGTGACATATACGAAACTTGTACGAACAGTCTAGAGTGCTTATCGGTCCTGCTATCTGCCTAGCCCAGATAGTTAAGCCCAGAACACCAATAACAGCCTCTGCAATATGAATCATTATATTTCAAACACACTAAATTTATATACAAATCAAACTGACCACATCGTACCATTAAATAGAAAATGACATTTAACAACCTTGACATTGATCATCACCCAGTGATCAATCTATTGTCATTACATCTCAGTCCTACAGGAGGTCGGTCACTGTCTGAATAGCTCAGCGGTAACGTCTCTGACTGTGAAGCCGGGTGGCATGGGATCAAGTCCGTCAGGGAGCACCAGTTCCCTCAAGATTACAGGCACATCTTGCTGACGAGTGCCAAGCAGCCCGAAACCCGGGCCCAGAGTTTCCCGTTGACCACCTCCAACCACCATCTTATCTCAACATAGTGCACGCAGTATCGAGCCACCTAGACTGGTGGCCACATTGCAACTTGATTGATAGCATTCTGTCAGCACTAAGACGGACTTGACATGCATGACATTGATCACCACCCAGTAATCAATCAATTGTAATAACATTTGTACAAGATTCGGCCAAATGTGGCTGTGAATGTGGGGAATAGTAAATAATAGATTGAGGATACCTCACGAACGGCATATTATATAATAATTGTCTATGGGTCAAAATAAAGCTTACAATAAGACCAAGATGAATATGAATAGTTGAGTTACCCTACAATTATACATTAGGAAATATGCGTATCGTATTGGTCCATAAATGATTCTCAAAAGTTACCATTCCTAATTCTCTACGGGATATAACACTAAATCTTAATAGGAGTTGATTACAAGGTATAGAAAAATTCATTCTAATGAACAGTTTACGTTTAATGGTTACTAACTTGATAAGTATAGAATACCTTCAATAAAACACGTAGAGATTTTCTTCTCTCATTAAACTGTTACATTGTTTTTTTATAGTTAAGTTCATGAGCCAAATAAAATCAGGCCACCATGGAGATAGTGTAAGCATTAAACGGCTGTTTAGTCCTAGTATGGGACTCTCCAGTAGTGCGCATTCACGATCCCGCACTCGGGAATTGAACCCAAGAACTATCGGTCTCGCACACGAACGTTTAACCTCTAGATCAATGAACCGATATCCAATGGTGTTAATGTCTAACTTCAACCAACCCACATTGTTGTTGAAAGTCTTGTTTGCAATATCCTCATGAAGTTTTAAGTTCATGGATCATTTTTTTCACTGGTTTATTGGGAAAGAAATGAATCATATTGCGCTTTATTTAAAATGTATGAAAATCTATCCATGATATACCAATTTTATACATTGGAAAAGGAAAGAAAAACCTTAGAAACTGTGTCTAGTGATGCAATCAGGATTCATTCATACAATAGCTTCTGGTTTGCTGTCATTTCAACTTTTAAAAAAAATAAACATTGAGTCAACAAAGATACCTCTTCTGATCACCACACAGTGATCAATCAATTGTTAATACATCTCATTCACAGCCCAGGTAACCCAGTGGTAACGTCTCTGACTGTGAAGCTGGATGACACAGGATCGAATCCGTCAGGGGGCATTATTTTTCTCAAGACTAAAGGTACACCATATTGACGAGTGCCAAGTAGCACGACACCTAGGTTCAGCGTTTCCTATTGATGGTCTCCAACCACCACAATATTATGTTTATTTAAAAATGAAATTTCTCATTCCATTCTCGATATCAGTGTTGCCATTTAGTGACCAATTCTCATCAAATATATCTAAAATATCTCTTTGTTAACGTGACATTCAGGCGTTGAATTATTGTTGTGTGATTTCCAGTAAATTAGATATAGTTTAAAATTTAGATCATTCGTTCAATAGTTCAGTTTTATTGTTATTATTACAATCATCTATGCCTACCACTATGGGATTTAAACTGACAACTGCATCTCTGTGCTAATGTGGTATGGCAACTCAAACTGATGTACGTACGTACAAAGTTCTACGTTGTGACTGGCTGACTGACTAACTGACTGACTGAATCATCTATGTAATCATAAATGCACACGGATGTATACTCTTATATTAAGATAAGACAACTGTCTGATCTTTATCACAAGGGGGTTTTGTGGATATTTTAGTAATTTTATATAGTTAAGATCATGAGTCAATTGAAGCTACACCACCATGGAAAATCTGGAAGCACTGGATGGCCGTTTCGTCCTATTGTGGGACTCCTCAGTAGTGCTCACTAGTGACTGGCTCCATGAGATAATTCCTAGAGTTCTAGTGAGAAGTCGTGGCCAGTGGAGCTAATCCATGTCAGGTAGACACAGCTATCTACCTCAGTACAATCGAAGTTGGTCGAGCAATTTCATGGATTTGTTAAGGTTAGACTTTAACACCTCTGGATGCCGGCTTAGTGGTCTATCGGTTAAGTGCTCTGGTGCGAGACTGGTAAGTCCTGGGTTCGAATCCCGCGAGGCGGGATCGTGGATGCGTGCTGATGAGGAGTTTCACAATAGGACGGAACGGCCGTCCAGTGCTTTCAGGTTTTCCATGGTGGTCTAGCTTCAACTGTCTGATCTTCAACTTTAAATGGTACTTTATTTGGCATCAGCTAGTAAATAAAACCAACTTCCGTTGTACAGCTTCATATCTATTCAGTACATAATCATTATGAGTATGATTATCAGTACTATTATTATTATTACTATCACCATACTTGGGGTACCTAGCCTGTCGTATGCCTTGATGGTGTTCTCGTGACTTTCAGGTTGCCTGATCTGCCAAGAACGATGGGACAGTGCATGACAGTATTGTTGTGTGCTAGGTTCAACGTGAATTGTTTGCTATATGCATGCAAGTCCGCCCCTTTATTGTTTATATTGTTCATATGTTACCATACTTAAATGATCCATCTAAATTTATTCTATAGGAATTTACCGATGAAATGACAGTACTTCATCATCAAGTTGAAGAACATAGTCTTGAAGATAATTCAAATGTATCAACTTCTATAAATGAACAAAATTCATTATTGATTAATTGAAAAGAATAAACAATAACCAAAAGAAAAAAAAGATCCTATTCATTGAATAGATTATTTCTTTTAATTAACCTGTGATATGTATATGTATGAAGTTGATTTCAACTTTTCTTCCCCCCCCCTCCTTCCTTTCTTTTTGGGATCATTCTTTACATAATAAACAATGGATCAAGAAAGTTATATCATTAATGTTCTTTTTTCATGCAATTAGTTCCATTTATAGAGTTAAATGGAGGTAAGAACAAGTACGGAGTTCACTTGGTGTTAGAATAAATAAAAAAACACTAAGGGGTGGGTGATGTAATAAATGAGTGAAGTTCAGAGATAGATAAGATAGATTGTATGATAATTTTAGAGGTAATGAAAGGTTTGCACAAGATTTCTCAAATTAAAAAGTACCCTGATAAGATGAGTTGCGTAATAATTGAACAGGATTTGAATAGTTCACATAATTTAAGAGAATTCAGAGAGTGGAAATGTATCAGTGAAAGGGGTGGGATGGTTCAAATATAGATAAAATTCGGTAATGGAGGAGAAATATAACAAACAAAACATTAATCAGAAGGGGTATTGTGGAGATTTAGTATTTGCATAGTTGAAAGTATGAGTCAATTGAAGCTAGACCACCAATGAAAACCTGGAAGCACTGGACAGACTTTGCGTCCTATTGTGGGACCATGAGAGTTCAAACCACGTCTGTCGTGAGATATCGACTCACTGAAGAAAATTGGTGAACAGTTGCTCAACTTCGTAGATTGATTGAAGTTAGACATTAACACCGTTGGATGACGGCCGGCTCAGTGGTCTATCAGTTAAGTGCTCTGGCGCGGGACTGGTAGGTCCTGGGTTCGAATCTTGCGAGTGCGGGATCATGGATGCGCACTGTTGAGAAGTCCCACGATAGAACGAAACGGCCATCCAGTGCTTCCAGGTTTTCCATAGTGGTCTACCTTCAATTGACTCATGCTTTCAACTATGCAAACTAAACATTAACAAAATAAAACTAATTACTCAAAAATTAAATTATCAAAATAGTAACAGATTTATTACTGTCTCTTTTTGAATACATAGATCAGATTTAAGATATTTTTTATCGTAATCGCTTCAGTGAACAGAAGAGAAGTAGTATTTCTTTATCTGCTAATAATCTTGAAAGCTTAAGGAATGTCATTGGTATGCCCGGTCTCACGTAAATGCCAAGCTATTGAACTATTTATAGCTTTTGCCCCTCGTAGTCTCAATTTCTTCGGAATGTGCTCAGGAATGCGGACATGTACTCTTCTCTTGGTTCTTCCAATGTACGTCTTTCACCATATATATGGATCATATCAAGTTGACGGGTGATATATATGTAAATGAGGAAGTTTATAGTGATATAACAAAAGCTTAAAATAAGAAATTTGAAGATTGACACTTCATTACTACTCAGTCTACAAGAACTGATGACCATAGTTTCTTCATAATTATGTAAAGTTTATTACATTAGAAAAGTTTAATATAAGTAGCTTCTTTAGTGCTTATCTGTTGTTGATCTTAAATAAATTTCTTGAATTAAATATCAGAATCTTTTTATACAGAATAGAGGATAGTAACAAAACAAAAGTAAATTATCTTATATAAAGAAAGTAACTGATATAAGCAAATATGGATGGTGGCTAGAAGTGGTATCCAGTTTGACGCGCGTTTCGTCCCCTTTGGGACTCGTCAGTCGGATATAACTGCATCTCATAGTTGATGTTTACTCTAGGACTCGAACCCAATACTATTAGTTTCAAACGGCATCGCGTTATCCACTCAGCTACTCAATTCATCTTTGCTTATAATGCTTGTGAATTAAGGCTATATCGTAGAAATACTCACAGTATGCACATATACCAATAAGAGATAAACGGGATGGGATCGCTCAGCCCATGCCCATCCCTCCTCCTTTACCCGGGCTTGGGACCGGCAGTAACTCTAGAAGAGCTGCAGGCATCACGTGGCAAGTTCTAACTTGGAATCCTGAAGAGAAACAGAAAAGAGGAAGGCCAAAGAACACATTACGCCGGGAAATAGAAGCAGATATGAAAAGGATGAATGTTAATTGGAAAGAACTGGAAAGGATTGCTTGGGATAGGTTTGTATGGAGAAAAACTGGTATGCGGTCTATGCTCCTCCATGATGGTTAACAGGTGTAAGTAAGTCCCTGGACCTTTTGCTAATAAACTTAAACTGGAGAAATCTCTGTCCATTATCATCGTAAAAATGAATGCCAAAACTTGTTTTAGCCGATATGAAGGATTTATGGACCGTATTGTTTTTCATTTTAAACTGTGTACAAGGAGATGGATATAGAAAAATAGTAACGAAGTATTTGAATAGAAATGTTAGTAATTTTATAGTTCAGTTCAAATTATCATAACTATTTTATGAAGGCTACATTAATCATGAAATTCAATCAACCAAGTTACCATACAGAATAAGCTCAGCGAGATGAAGCAATGGAAGTACTAATGTTGATATCTGTGCAGTAGGACTAATAAAGTATAAAGAATATGATTCAAAAAGAAAGGAAGAGTTAGAGGAATAAAGGACCTAATGTAACTTTGAAACTTAAGATCAAGAGCTAGACAAACAGTACATGCGTATGTAAACATTTCATTAGTCTTAAACCATATCACTTGATGCGTCTAAACATTGGCCACAACCTCAACTTATAAATCTGCACCTACCAACGTGTGTTAGATCGACAGTCAGTGACATCGTAGACCAATGTTATCTCTTTGCTTGACGGATTATGACTTTTTCAACATAGTTCTACATCACCCAACAACACCGTACGATGTTGGTGATGGTTTGATATATAGTTAACGTATGTCCCAGCGACTTCGAACGATGAATGCTGACGACCTCAGCAATCGATTGCTCAACCCTGTCTGGTACCGTACGTCTAAAAGCAGTATTGTTGATTCGCCTATCTGAAAGTCACTTATCGAACACTAGTAATTTATAAGTGCCTTTTAATTTCAGAGTCCGTTTTTCACAGCCATAAGACAAAACAGTGAAGTGTCACGCAGTATAATCGTCCTTTAGTCAAAAGACGGATATCTAGTCCACACCATGGGTGTCTCAAATTAATACAAGCGAAACAAGCTTTCCTAATCCACTCCTTGATTCCATAAAGCACCAAATCATCAGGGCTGAAGAAATCCTCTGCACAAATGAATTAATCAACGCAATCTTTTATTTCATTTCCTATGGTCAATCTAGACACTGAGGAAGACCATTTGCGAAGCAAAATTTTGCATCAAAAGAGATTTAGAAGCATTTCAACTATTCTTGGATTGTTGTGCGAAGGGCTAAGGAGACTATGCATTTTATCAATATCTTTACGGAAAAGGACAATATTATCACGAAATTGGTGTCAATAAGAGAATCATTGGAAACCATAACATACTGGACAGCCTTTTCAACCTAGTTTGGTGATTTATTAATAGTGTACATTCATTACACCAGGGATTGAATTCAGGATCCACACGTCTAGCGGTAAGCTCTACACAATCCAGTCATTAAGTTTAAATTTAATGTTCACCATTTATTTGTTATTATAAATCTATTTTATCAAATAACAAATAAGGCATTATGTAATCAGAAGAGACCTAACTATTCAGATTGTTTGATCAAATCAGGCATAATAATGAAGTTTAAAAATAGTTTTTGACCTTCCAACTTAAGATAGATAATCTTATAAAACTAATTACTCTACTATACTTAGTGATGAATGAATTTACTTTACACGAGATCTTAGTCAGTATTAACTCCACCTGTAGCCCCTACGTGGGCCCTTGGCGGTCCCAACCTCGGATAAAGGAGGAAGTTTGGGTATGAGGTTAACGACCTCATCCCGTAGAAAACTAACTCTCTAAAAAAACGCTAAAAAGCGCTTAGTCAGTGTTGCTACGCTAACTGATATACAATTGGACTAGTATGATAGTAACCAATGTAATATTGACTTCTCCTTAGTAAATAATTATTCCTATCTTTAAAATTATCCCCTCCAAAAATTGATATACGACGTAAAATCATATCTATACTTTAAACAATAAGAAACATTAGTATTTTAACATTTCCTAAAACGAAATCTTAATCTAACCCATACTTAATAACTTGTGCATAGTTATAAGGTGAATACATTGAAACACACCAAATAGCAACTCTACGGATCATTGTGAAGCAATCAATTGAATGGAATTCATTGACTACGAAAAGGCATTTGATAGCGTAGAGAGGACAACACTATGGAGGCTTCTTCAACACTACAGCGTACCTGAGAAGATAGTCAATATCATACAGAATTTTTATGATGGATTAAACTGCCAAATCGTTCATGGAAGACAATTCACCGACTCATTCGAGATAAATACCGGTGTTAGGCAAGGTTGCTTACTCTCACCCTTTCTCTTTCTCCTGGTCATCGACTGGATCATGAAGACGTCAACATCTGTAGGGAAGCACGGGATACAGTGTACAGCTAGGATGCAGCTGGACGATTTAGACTTCGTGGGTGATCTGGCTCTTCTATCACACACGCTAAAACAAATGCAGGAGAAGACGACCAGTGTAGCAGCAGCTTCAGAAGCAGTAGATCTCAATATAAACAAAGGGAAAAGCAAGACTCTCCGATACAAAACAGCATGCACCAATCGAATAACACTTGACGGAGAAGCTTTAGAGAGTGTGAAAACCTTTACATATCTGGGCAGCATCATTGATGAACACGGTGGGTCAGATGAAGATGTGAGAACGAGGATCGGCAAAGCAAGAGCAGCATATTTACAAATAAAGAACATCTGGAATTCAAAACAATTGTCAACCAACACCAAGATCATAATTTTCAATACAAATGTCAAGACAGTTCTACAGTATGGGGCGGAGACGTGGAGAACTGCGAAAACCATCATCCAGAAGATACAAGTGTTTATTTACAGTTGTCTACTCAAAATACTTTGGATCCGTTGGCCAGACACTATCAGCAACATTCTACTGCGGGAGAGTTTAAACCAGATTCTATTGGAGGAAGAAATCAGGAAGAAACGCTGGAATGGTATAGGACACACACTGAGGAAATCACCCAACTGCATCATAAGAGTAGCTCTCATATAGAATCCTGAAGGTCAAAGGATAAGAGGAAGACCAAAGAACACATTACCTTGAGAAATGAAGACAGACATGAGAAGAATGAACAAAAGTTGAATGGAAGTAGAAAGAAAGGCCCAGAATAAAATGTGTTGGAGAATGCTGGTCGGCGGCCTATGCTCCTAGATTCTAAGTTCTATACTAAAATTAAATAACTGTCTAGTATTCTCTGATTGATGACAATCCTGTAGCCAAAATTTCTCCATTAAAATAAATAAAAACCACTTTCAGTTGTGCTCTATTTAAACTGAGGTTTATTGAAACGATACCGTCATTATTATTATTATTATTATCGTTTTACGATCTCTTCTCCCCCCCCTATAGTTTTAACAGACTGTTATATAATTCATTAATCTATTTAAGTTGTTATTGAGTTACTATGAATGTTGTCTATTCCTTCTTATCATACCCCCAAAACTTTATTTAACTTATTTCAGTAACAAAAAAAAAGAAACATATAAGTCACTTTTTTATTTTTTTTCTTTTCTTTTTTCCTTTTTTCTTTCTTAATATGATTATGAAATTGAAATGAATAAAAAAAGAGCCCGGAAACAAACAAACAAACAGACTGATACACCAATCTTTCCCTTATCAACTATTCATTAAAGTTAAACTAGGTAAGAGGGGGGGGGAAACAATGAAATGGGTTATTTTATTTTTATTTTGTTATAGAAATAAAACAGTGAAATCAATGTTACATAATAAATGACAACACAGTTTGTTTTTTTAGTTGTTAAGTAAAACAAAAAAAATGATGACTGTTGCCCCCCTTTTTTTGTATGTAACAGGTAAATTCAACACAACAAAAAATTTTTTTATTTTTGTTATTGTTGTTTATTATAATGATTGTCGAATATTGATTTCATAATACACTAGGGAAGTATTATGTAATGTAATGTATATTCACTTAGTTACTAAGGAGTGTATCGTATTTTCATGCCTGCACACACACACACCTATTTGTAATGAATAAATACATTGAATGATTGTAAATGGTACTTTTTTTATAAACTTAATATGTATGTATCTGTGAGAAATGGTTACACTGGGAAACATATTGAATAATTGATTTAGTCATAAAAATATATCCGAATGAATAATCAAATATAGATGAACAATAATTTATAGCTTTCTAAAGAAAAAATTACTTTCTATACAAAGATAGATAGTGGCTAGATGTGGAATTCATGTAGTGCGTTTCGTCATATTCGGGACTCATCAAGTGGATGTACCTGAAGCTCAGAATTGATATTCACACTGGGATTCGAACTCATTGCTAAACTTCATTTGGAAGATTTAAGCAAACAATACCAAGGGATTGGTTGAGGTTAGACATTAACACCTCTGGATGCCATCTCAGTGGTTTATCAGCTAAGTGATCTGGCGCGAGACTGTTAGGTCTTGGTTTCGAATCCCGCGAGGCGGGATCGTGGATGCGCACTGCTGAGGAGTCCCAGAATAGGACGAAACGGCCGTCCAGTGCTTCGAGGTTTTCCACGGTGGTCTAGCTTCAATTGACTCATGATTTTAACTATATATAAAAACCATTAATGTTTCAGTCAAGAGCTTCATCTCTACTTCGATAATATTGTTAGTACAAATATAATTGAAGAAGAAACATACTCAACCTTTTTTTTGTCTATCATTAATTTAACCTAAATTTTTAAATCTATTATCCTTTCACTCTCTCCTACTCCGTTGATCTATTCATAATCGTTAACTTTTGTTTCACATTTATGATATGATTGATGAATATCTGAATTCTTATGTTGTACTATACTTTCAATTTCTTGATACAGCTTAGTTCTTTTAGCTCTATCTTTACTATGTTCTTTAAAAAGGTATTATTAATAAGAAGTACCAGATATATATTCACCTCACAAATCTCATTCGATTTGTGTGAGGGCTGTGATACTGCCTAGGTGCCCAAACCGAAGCAGGTGGTTTTCTTAGGGGACCATTCTCTGAGTCTTTGACCTAAAGATCTGATCCACAAGACAGTGGAGCATCGTAAAGAGATACAGTCCCATGGTAGTCGGTGACCAGCGATTGATTCATACACTATTTGTTCCCTCAAGATCCTGCAGCCCACATGCACCATTGGTTTGGAATGATGGTTTTCCAACTCCTCTAGGCGGACATGCTGTGTCTACCAACCCGGTTAAAGTGTTGGACATTCGCTTTTCGTTCTCTCAATTTAGTGAACAACAGTAATGCTGTAAGAAGGCAGTAAGTAGGACTTTCCTGGCAGAGTCTGTATACCCGTGGCCATATGAGAGCAGTTGAAGAGGGAGAATGGACTCTCCCCGCTCTCGGCCGTACTAGGGCATTTGGGGGCCGAGTACATAGATTTATGATTGGTAGATTAGTATGCCGATTTCTACCTCTTTACTTGCCATAAAAATGAATGAGTTTTTGTTTCGTATTGAATGGTGGTCTGTTGTTAATAGCCTCATACTTAATCCGTTTAAATGTCAAACTGTTAACTTTAGCCTGAGACATGGAAAGTACCAATACACTATTGTAGGATCCCATAATGCTTGTGCCATCAGAGATTCTTTGATGAACACGGTGTCAAAGGCCAATTATCTTGGTGTTGCCTTTTCCTCTGGTCTCGCTTGGCCTTCTCATGTTTTACTTTTATCGAAGAAAGTTTTCCATCTAACTTACTACATAAAGAGGCTGCATACTCTTGAGATTGCTTGACATTTACTCTAACAGTTCGTCAATTCTTCTTTATTATCTATTATCCCTTATTGTTCTTGATTATTCTTTCCCAGGTTTTTGAGAAAAGATTTTGCTGTATTGCGAAGAGTGTTGAAGGCAGTTAGTAGAGTGTGTGGTGAGTCTTTTGAAGTTATTATTAATATGGTTGTAAATAGACATCTTAAGTCTTGCAAACTCCTGACAAGTGTTATCCACTTCATTTATATCTTTTTCTTTGTATATTTTCTGGTAGAAAGAGATGTTAATACATTAAAATTCATGCACTCAAGCAAAGGTAATGAAAGTTCTACCATACCTTATCTAACAAATATACTCTATGACGAACAGGTTGTTAGAGTTGACCTATATTCTTTAACATGTCTCTAATTTGGAACTAATGTTTTGGTGGAGTAAGTTTTACGACTGTGTTCTTTACCAGTATAATACGATAGTTTAATTAAGATTTTAAAATAGAACAAAATGCTTTCCTAACTATAACAAAATGGTTTCTTCAAATTTCGAAAATAAAATGTATCTATCAAGTTTGGGTGTAGAGTTCTAGTAGGCGGTGTATGTTCCTCCATGAGGGGTAACAGACGTAATTAAGTAAGTAAATAAGATATGACTATATGTCAATGAAATACTTACTATTTCTTATAAATAATAGTCTGCTGCCAAATTAAAGTTAGATTATGTTTTACATAAGTGTTATATTATTCAAATGAATCTCATTTCCTTTTGTTTAATTATTGGGTGATAAATAAATATGGATTTATTTGTACAAAAAAATATTTTCTTTTAATATGGTATAGCTGTGAAGGCATAAGTACGGGTAACTCCTAAGATCTATTAATGAATGATTATTCTATATATGTCCTTATGGTCTTACTATTGAGTAACTAGATTGTGTATCTATCTATATTCATCTTATTATAAGCTTCATTTTGACTTATGGATTATTACTGTACGATTTACTGTTCCCAAATTGTGTTCAGTTTATTGATTATTGTATCCCACATCCACAGTAACATTTGGTTTGATCTTGTACAAATATTATTTTCTATTTTATGGTGTGATGTGATCTGTCTATCTGATATATAAACCGAGTATTCTTCAAATACATGATTCATATCATGGAGGTTGAGATTTGTGTTTTGGAATCAACAGGCAAGGCTAGGCAGGGAGAAAGACCGATAAGTATTTTTTGGCCGTTTGTATGGTTTTATGCGTCATTGGTCCGGTTGATAATTCACTGTTCTCTTATCATCATCATCATCATCATCATCATCATCATCATCATCATCATCATCATCATTATCTGAACGACATCTACCCGATGTTTGTACTGATGATGTTGTTCAAAAAAAACAATGAAAGCACCATGACCAAACCATCCATCTTAGAGAACAAAGCTCCATCAAAATCATCCACTTGAGCTACACATCATCTCCAACAACTTTTGATTATAAGAATTGAAGAAAATTATTAAAAAAAACTGACATTTATTCTTAAATCAAGATCTTGACAAATTGTATTAACCAGAAAAATGTCTACCAGTAGAGGGCCCAATGGTGACCCCATGGCTACCTCCATCCAATTGTCTATAATATTCATTGTCAAATCGTAATTGAACATTCATCGTACATCTAAGAATTAACTGTTTTATTGCGGATACGGGAATTACGGATGAGGTAGCCATGGGCTCACCATTGGGCTCTCTACTGGTAGACATTTTTCTGGCAAAACTAGAAAATGGTCCACTTAAAGACAAAATTGTATTAAAATAGAAAAAAAATTTAAAAAAAACAAAAAAAAGTTTTTTTGAGGGTATTCAATGGTTTATCTCATAGAATAGAAATATATATAGAAACTATATACAATACTGTTATGATTGATAAGAAGGTTACATTACTTTTTGTACTAATATTACATGCATCTGTTGAACAAGTCATAACACATGCACGATACATACGATCATGATCAGGAAAATCTAAAAATTGACATTCATTACCCATATCCCATGCACTACAAAATCGTGTAATACCCATGACAGCTATAAAATGAAAAAAAAAAGAAATATAATGATCAAAAGAGGGAGGTTCTGTACAGATTTTAGTAATTTTTATATAGTTGATATCATGAATCTATGGAAGCTAGACCATCATGGAAAACCTGGAAGCATTGGAAGGTCGCTGAGGAGTCCCATAATAGGACGAAACGGTCTTAAAGCAGTGCTTCCAGGTTTTCCATGGTGATCTAGCTTCAATTGATTCATGAATCCAACTATATGAAATATAATCGTTAAAAACATTTACATATAAGAATTAAAGGTCAAGTAGACTGGAAATGAAGGGGGGGGTAAGAGTAGACAAGGATAATAACAATATTAATGTGAAAACAATTTGAAACCTAATCACTCTGGTTAATAAGTCAATTTTACCAGAGTAGATTTGAGGTGAGAATATGCTGTTTTTTGAATACACTGAGGGGATTTGAATTTTTGTATGGCTAAGGCTTTAATAAACCTTAGTATACACCCTTTTACATTTTTATACAATACCACAAAAGCCGAGTTATGATCAATCTTATGACCTGTTACGATTATATGTTTGGCAATAGAGAATGATGAATGTTTATTCTCTACTCTTATTGTGTCGTTTGATTCTATTTGTTTCTTCAACCATTTTGGTGTTTGAAGCGAAAGGTACTGGATTCGAGTCCCAGAGTGAATATCAACTCTGAAGTGCAAGTACAACCAGCTGACGAGTCCCAAATAGGATGAAATGCGCGTCAAACTGGATTCCACTGCTAGCCACTATCCATCTTTGCTTACATTTAGGCATATGTTCACACACTCTAATTTTCAGATCATGATACTGATATAAAGTTTGATATAGGTTTATAGTATGTTGTATTGAATATTCATTGATCAAGTGAAAACTTATGTATTCAATTAGAAAGTTCAGCGAGACTATAATTTATGGACGAGCTAATCAGAAGCGTTTGAGGTCAGGGCGCCAACTTCAGTACCTGGTGTTGATGTACGGTTGGTTCACACAGGATTTTAGAGTAGATTTGACAATTAGGTAGCTACAATAAATGGGACTACTAAGAAGTTCCTTTATTTGTAAATGTGATAATTAAATGACTTGTAGACCTTGTGCAGACTACTGTGATGTTGTCCTTCGATGTAATATATGTTGAAGGAAGACGTTTGTCAGAATAGGAACCTTTTTCGCTCGATCCAGATTGAGAATAAGGCATGTTATAACAATTGCCGCGAAGTGTATAATAAAAGCACCAGTAACATTGCATGCAGTGATCGCAGATTTTATTGAAAATTCAGCTGTTCAGTGGTACGACTATTGTAGGGACATATGCATAATAAAAATGATAAACTTACACAACCGGAGGACACACAAACAATAATGAAGCTATGTGGTCGAGGCTGAGAGCGTTTTTGTGACCTTACCATGGCTCCAGAGACCGACTATTATGGAGCCGTATGGATGACTTTCCCTACCTTATGCATTACAATTTTAGAACCTTTGAACCTCTTTCTAACCTTGATAAGATTTAGGACCATATAAAAGAACTGTATCCACTTTAATTCTTTGGTTTTGTATAATATATTTTTACTTTGTACCAGCTGTCTCCTGATTGGCTAATATTTCTCAAGGTCAATTAAGATTTGTTCATAGGTCGTCCATAAATTATAGTCTCGCCGAAAGTTCAATTATTTTGTGACAGCTGGAAATATTAGTTGGGATACCAAATATCAGAGTAGATGGATTGACAATTAAAACTTTTACATAGTGTAGTATGGTCTACTTATATCCATATAAGTAGTATCTGGTGATGGTCAGACATAGAATGTATTTCAGTAGAAGACCGATAATGAAAGAACCGAAATGAAGCGCAATTGGTAGGAAAATGTACGAACAATGGAATTAGAGAAGACGAACTGATATTTATAGAAGGAACAGTGAAGATTAAAACAACTGGTTGTTATTTTGCAAGTTAACTGTTAACTGTATGGTTAACAGAATTTAGTGAGATAGTCTGTAATGTTCGTATCAAATACATTCGATTGTCCCCAATCGGTGTTTTGTTCACCACAATAGTACTTGAAAATTTATTAATTAAGTTATTAAATCTAATCTCTACTAACTTAAGGATACATTACTTCAAATAAAATCAGTTTTATAACTAGTTAGAAACATGATGGAGAAGATTTGTAGCTGAGGTGGGTGATCTTGATGTAGGTTTGTTCTCTGAGCTGGATGGTTTGGTCGTAAAGCTTTCATCGTTCTTCTGAACGACATCATCAGCAGCACAAACTTTGGGTAGAAGTGAAGTAATGGGGTTATTTCGATTACATAAACAGTATACCTAACACGTTAGAGACCTTTTTTCTATGACAAAAGATAATACTTGGTCAATTTTTTTAAATTGAAGTATATCAGCACCATTTCTCCTAAAGCTTGCTATCGTTTTTGTACCTAATCACTAAACAAGGAATAAAGGAAATATCTCAAATGATCAACTAATGATTATTCAGAAGAAAACTATATATTACCTAAAGAATATAAATCAGCTATTAACTAGTTCCTTTTTTCAAGAAATGAACTTGATACTCATTCTCACTATTCTTTCCCTGTATGTTATGATGAAGTGATTGTATTATTAGATACGATTAGTTACTATTGCCCTCAAAACTTATCAACATACTATTGAACGATAGTGTACTACTCTACTAACTTGTATACGATAGCTCTGATGTTTATCAGGTGAGACTATAACTTATGGACGACCTTTGAGTGGCGCTGACTGACCTTGGGAGTGTCCACCTAATGACCAGGACCAAACGGGGATTACAAAACCTGTATGAAGAATTCGGATTAATATTTACAGATTGTAGTTAGGGTTAGGAATTAGATTTCGAGTCTTCATCACGAACTGACAAAATTGTATTTATACAAATGGATGAGTGGATATTCAAATGGATATTCAAATAATACTTTATATTACCTCCGTAGATTCCAGTAGTTTTTATGCAAAATCGTGCTCCATAAGTTGTACAAGGTGTTGGTTGAAGTGAATGTTTGCCTAAATCAGTTAAGTGTTCTAAGCAATTAGAATGATGCGATGAATTGCATTGATAACAAGATAACGACGAAACAACATCTGAAAAAGATATACAAACAGCTATAAATTTAACAAGAATAAAACATTCAGCGTTTGATTTAAGAGTTTATTATGAAAGGCATATGGCAATGATAAAAATCATAGTGGATCTGTAATTCTCCGAAAGGTATGAAGCTATTTTTTAAAGTTTTGTAACTGATCACAAACTGCTTCTTTCGTAAAATAGATAACCGTTTTCAAATTAGCACAAGTTTAAATAGTACAATGAAATGAGTCAAATATCTAGTTCTCAAGAACAATTCCGACTAAACCAGTGTCATACCATTTAGATCAAAGGTGGTTCTATGTGATCGAATTTTAGATTATTAGGTAAAAGAGAAAACCAAAAGTTCATCTAAACTAGTAATGCAGTAGTACCTTAATGGTCTATGGACTTAGGATTTCAAATATTAGGTCATAAGTTCCAACCGCTTCGATCAGGGTAGAAGACTTTTATCACAAGCCTGCAAACAAACAATTTAGTTTAAAGCCGATAGAATAAAATGTGTACTCAATGAGTTAATTAATTTATTATCAGTGGTAAGAAACAAAAACTAAGTATGTCGATACTGACAAATAGTGCAACAACTATCGTGGTAAATCAGAATTGTAAAATCACTCTGTACTGTGATTATAACTTCATCTTTATATTACGCTCGTTTGTAAGTAACCGAAAAGCAATTTTTCACCTTATATCATATCTATTCTACTAAGCTGTTTCATTTACTAAAAACAAACGTTTACAAAAACGTCCCTCACTTATACAAAGGTAACTGATGATAATCAATAAAACAAGAAACCTTATTCAACCCAATATATTAAAAATGACTAAACAGAATCACTAACCTAACAAGATGGTATATTGCTGCGTATAAACTTTCTAAAGTACAAAATTAGCAATTAGATCTGGTTTTCAGTTCAACTTAAAATGGACAAAACGAATGGTAAGATGACAACTCACATTTTTATCTTTATGTGAAAAATAATTTACATCAAACTGAATCTTTCTGAATGAAACATTGTTGACTAAAAGTTAAGACAACGCAAACCAAACCTTGAAAGTTTTACATTTTATCTGGTTCACATCCTCCCTAATAGCTCTAATTAGACAGTGTCTTTGGACTAAAAGCTACTAAGCCAAATATCACAGTTAACAAGAGACAAACGATATTTTCAGAAAGTTTTATCAGTATGGGAATTCGTGGAGATTCCAGTATTTTCACAGTTGAATTCACTAGTCGATCTAAGACAGACTACCATTGAAAATCTGAAAGCACTGGATGGTCGTGTCTTCCTAGTATGGAACTTTTCAAGCATTGCGTATCCATGATCACGTATGAGGGACCCGAAGTCAGGATGTTCGGTCTCACGCGTGAACGCATAACCTTTCTTAAGTTACTTGTTCTTCGGGATTTGGTTGCCGAAAGAAGTTCATAACCTACGTGTCATTTTAAGAATTGTCAGCAAAAGGCTTTCGGAGTATGTTCGCATAATTGGATCAATTAAAATATCACTTTTCAACTCCTCAGTACGGCTGCATACAGTAAAACGATTACTCTGGTCGAGACTTTTTATCGCAGTCACAACAACTATACGGGATAAAAACATTGCTCATAACAGAGATATTTCTACAAACATTCATAACTTTATCAAATAACATCTTATTTTAGTCGTATGGAAATCAAAAAGTGTAACTATATAAGAACCTTGACCCAGCTCCTAAGTGATAGGGTGTCCCACTAACTTCTTTGGAAATGAACTTTGATGCCATGCAATTTTTTAGATTTTAAAAACTAGGTTAAAATACTACGATAACAAAATAAAAATCAAATATTTGAATATAACTATCAAGTATCTGTTTCTATTTACTGCATAAGTGTAGTTACTTTAATTATCATAGAGGTCCTAATCCCTCCCTTACACCTACCGTATCAAACCACATGAAACTTCCAAGTCACTGAAATTTACCATCTTAAGAAGCATACATTCATTTCAAAAGAATCCCATTCCAAAATGACTACGTATCCTTAGTTTATACAACTATTTTTGATGACTAAGAAATCAGGTCTTAATATAATGTAATTAACTATAAAATATAATGTACAAGTCACATTCTCTGGAAAAAGGTTATTAATCACATCACAATAGGTGTTGTCTTACTGCGTTATGTGAAACAAACCTTAATGAAATGATAAACATTTTGTGAATTTTTATTGTCTCAGATTTTCGTTAAATCCACGACCCAAAAACATTTACTGCAAACCATAGCATGATGTTAAGAGTAAGATAGCTGGTAGAAGATTTAACTAAAATAAAATAACACAGGTCAGTGATCCGCAAAAGAGCTTGTAGTTAGTCTAAGTCATTTACAAAAGAACAGAATTCTTGAATAGGATGAACAGGACACAAAATCAATATCACTAATGCAGACATAACTGCCCTCTCTTTTCCTTTCAATCTCTAAAGTCTTATTATTTTCATGTTCCCTAAATATTTATTTTATCCCTTGTTCAGCTGCGTACCATTGTTATTTCTATTGTTGGTTTAGCCATCATTTTCTCACAACTCAATATGTTGTTATGCAGTGTAACAAACTTAAATAGCAGATCTCTATGCTAGGTCTTATGTCTTTCCCCGACTAATTTCTAATTTAAAGTTAGTTTAGGTCAGTAGTAAATAATAAAGATAAAACAACGGGCTAACTATTACTCAGTCACGTTTTATTTGCAAGGTACATATGAGAAAGTCAAAATAATGTCTGAAAAACCATTAGTAGGACAAGTGGAAAAAGTATAGACAACCTGGCAAAGTACACAAAGTAAGTTTCAGTATGTAACTTTTAAAATCATTTAGATGGAATGATTTTCGGTATAACAAGAATAACCAGAAGTTATGATGGAAGCTTCACAAATGTCTCAAGGGAATTTGAATATACCAGGAAGATATTGTTCTGTCAAGTCTGCCAGTTGGCCAATTTTTGTCATATATGGGGGCTGAAAATTTTTTGTCTTACTAGGTATTGCTATTCTGAGTTCAAACAACAACACTTCTAGTCCTGATTCTGTAAATTGTAGTAGTCACCCCCATGTAAACTTGATTAAACCGTTATATACTCGTGTAAAATTCCTCTTTGTCGAGTAATAAAACACTTGTTTATGAACATATTTGAAGTACATGTATACTATTTGAGCCCGTATATATATGATATAGGCCATGTATAATAAAAATTATAATGTACGTTAAGATTATTTAAAATACCTTATTCTGTTGCTGAATCTGTTATATCTTTTTCAATCTTAAACCGAAGAAGGCTATCCCCCGAAAAATAAGTAAAGTGAGTTCCATGAGAAAAAAACACTGAATATGTTAAATTTGGACCGTCATATACAAACCAAGGAAAAAGTGACACAGTATCAAACAAGTTACATTTCTTTAGCAATCAACTAATATAATTGCAGTCATATATTCAAAAAGGCTTACATAAATTTATAATCCACACCAAAATATAGCAAATAAGCATTTCCGCATTTCATTCAAAACAAGCAATGTTGTTGATCAATCAAAGTAACGTAAATATGACGTATTATAACGAAACATTATTCATCTGAAAAGAAGAACATCAAGATGATGGTACTTATTCTAATACGCAAAATTCTTCACCAAACAAATAATATATTATGAAATGTTGGTTCTAACCAATTATTCTTTCTGTCTTTGCACCTTTATGTTAGCATAAAGTTCCACTTAGTCAGTTATTCTATTATCATAGTTACAATAAGTTTAAAATGTTTGCTCGATCGGCCTGTGAGTGAGTTCTTGTTGTATTCACACAAAACGATAAGTGCTTTGTACATAATTAGTCCAGAGAATGGGAGCTAAACGAGACATAGGATGGTGTTCCAGTCCTTTCCAGTGGTTCAGAGTGCGACACTGGGATTACCTAGAAAGTACGATACAATTAGAGCATCACTACCGCATTCGCTCTCACCAAGGGGAGGGATTTTGTTCGTTAATCCAGTCTTGTGTCATTTAAAAAAATTTGATATCTGGGTTGAGCCTTTCTTTTCAAGCTTTAAGATCACTTGAGTTCTGCAGAGTTTGAGAGCATAATGTGTTAGACAGATCGTTAATAAGAACCAGGGAGATAATCAGTCCAAAGATTAAGCCATATCGTTGAAAATCGATCAGACGGAGAGAGTAAACGCTGACAGCTAGATACCTCATGTTTCAATAATCTGAAATAAATTTCACCAAACCTGTATACCCATAGAGTCCGTTTGCCGACATAGAATATCATGATAAACTCGATCAAATATAAAAACAAGTGAACGATATACAGCAGATAATTGTACTCCAGTCAGAGAATTTAACTATTTTATGCAACCAGTGCAAGACCTACCATGTATAGAACTGAGTTGTTTTACAGCATGAGTAGTGATGCTGGAAAGATAGTCAAGGGAAAACTTGACGGTAACTGTTCACATGATCTACACCACCTTGAAGAACAAAGAACCTGGCCGGTGATTGGAAGCCCCCACCTAAACCCGTCTTTGTGTGTGGATATAACTACACCTGTCTTCCAACCATAGGATAGATTACTCTTGGTAGATAACTAAAAGTGGGTAACAAAGGGGAAACCAAGTGAGTCAGTACATTCTTCAAAGAATATGAGTTGGGTTTATTCTAAGCTAGTAGGTTCATATAGGTTCAGAAGCCTTAGGTCCTCAATTACATTGAGGCGCTCAATTTTCAGAATACCTAGCTTATCTTGAGAAACAATGTCGTAGCAGTCAGAGTACAGAGGTTTAAGAAGATTGAATTAATTGAAGTAGAAACCTCAATATTAGTCGGGTGTACTGTCAAAGAACCTTAATCCAAAGTGTTCACCGGGACACCAACCTCTTGTCACACAAAAGTGTGTGACCATATGATTACTTTTCATGAGTCTTGTCTGAAAAGGCAACCAAGTTATCATATCCCATGTTACTTCCTAAGCACACTATTGGATTATGTCTTATAGTGTGATGAACCACCTCTTTCCAGGTTTGCTCCATAATCGTAATCAGTTCTCCGAAAGCATTAACTGATCGACATATAGAGCCATTATATCAGTTATGAAGAGACGTATTAGTATGAAGGCATGATCTATCTGTCCGTGAGGATTTCGTGCTAATAAGTTAGTGATTTCCAACACAGCCAATTAAAATGACACCCAGACTGGAAGCTTGCATGATTGCTTCTCAATGGGTATATTTAAACGAATTCTTTGACAAGTTGAATTCCCTGTCATGTACCCGACATCTGTGTTCAGTTGGCAAGTATTATCTGTTTAAAAGAGACTGGGAATATTCAAGTGTCTCAAAAGTAACATTTGGGAAAACTTGGAAGTGACTGAGTGACCTGTTGAGTGGTAGATGGTTGTTGATCTAGTTGCTCATTACACTGACAATCATATTGGCGTCACGATGGACTATGCGATTATACAACTAAATATGCATTCAAATTCTGAAATCCGGAGTATGACCAGAAAAATGACAACATTGTGACTCATTTCCTTATATTCATCGGAAAAGATGCCTACAGTTCGCTAAAAAAGATTGACATTTCTTGGTAAACCTATTTCATCTGTCTATGAAACTCCTAAAGAACTTGTACTAAATCCTGTAACATTAGTCAATGTTGAACGCCGGAAAAGAAAAAAATTTCGTATATAAACTCTTCAGGATAAGAAGGTTAGAAAGTCTATTCTCAGGTTGTAGAACAAACTCTCCCAACGTAATTTTGGTGAAAAAGTTCGTACCCAGTTGCGTAGACGATTGATTGCGGGGACTTACATATCAAGTCTGAAAAATAGACTATATAAATGTCGAATTGTTCCTTCCAAGACGCTAGCACTGTTCTTATTCGTTATAAGGCAGTGCATGAAACTGGCTACTGATAAGACAAAGTCTCAATAATGGGGAGCTCGATATATTTGTGCCTCAACCTTTCGTAAGTCAAGAAGATCGTATGACGAAAAACCTCTTAATGAGTCTACGGAACACCCTAAACGCTAATATTCGTGAATAAACCAAAGAGCCATAAGAAAGGAAAATATCCAAGCATTATTGAAAGACAGTAGTTCTACATTATTAATGGAGAACGATTATGGTACAGCTCGAGTATTCTCAAATTGCTTTGGCAATTTGTATACCGTAGAGACGATCTCCTATTCAGGCCATTAAAAGCCCTAAACACACACTCTCAACACTGTGATTTTTATAGAAGTCGATGTCTTTGGTTTACTAAATAAGCCTGAAACAAGCAAATATGCGGGATCCGGTGAAATACATTTTAGGTTACTCAAGGAATTAGTGACTTTTGTCACAAAACCCGTAAGTATATGTTCTAATCCATATGTAACCCAAAGAAGATTACCAAACGACTGGAAGAATGGTATAGTAAGACCTATCTTCAAAACAGGGAGGAGACACAAACTGTAGAACTATCGACCTGTAGGCCTGACCAGAATAGCTGTTAAAATTATTATTTTGAAATAGGTGATTAAGTATCTGGATGAAAACCGGATTCTTTCTGAAGGGCACCATAGCTTCATAACAGTTCGTCCGTGTCTTACAATCTTATTAGTAGCCCGTAAAATTCCGTGCACTCTTAAAGACCGAAAGTTAACTACAGATGTAGCTTACACTAACTTCAGTGAAGCTTTCGACAAAGTTCCTCACAACCGGCTTATATATCTATTGAGTAATATCTTGATTGGAGGCAATTTATTAATATGAATAAAACAATTCCCAATTGGGCATCAACAAAGGATACTGGTGAACTCGAGGTTGTCTAGTTGAGACACTGTGTTTAGCTGAGTGTCTTAAGGTACAGTTTTGAAGCAAATTTTGTTCTCCCTGTATGTGGGTGACTTTCCTAGTATCCTTATTATCATTAACATAGTCATATGCTGGCGATGTCATGATATGAAGAGCGATAAAAAGTCAAGGTGGTGGTTTGGAGCTTCAAAATGACCTAGAGAAATTATCTGATTAGTCTGGAATTTCAGAGTTGACGATAAGTGGTTCCAAGAGAATTGTAATGAATATTAGTTACCAAGGTACGGATATGTGGTGAATAAAATTGACCTACCCGTTGTCAAGACACACAATGACTTAGGAGTTGTAATGTCTGGTACTAGGTCAAGCCCATATGGGTTAAGTTCGTAAAAACTGACTTAGTCACTCTTTTGAAGTCACACTTCGACGTTGTCACTTATTCGCCTATTATCCCTGACTTCATTCGTATGATCATGTGTGTGCATTGATTATCCTATTTATCACATTTCTGCAAATTATATCTGTCTGAATACAAATACTGAGTCACGCTTGATCAAATAGAATTGTCTTACTCTCCTCCCCCGCGTTACTTTGTTTTCCATTTCTCCAGCGACATTCGCTACTTCGTTATTTTGGTTGTCTGTCTTGATCAACGAGTGTACGAAATATGGTCCACTACATAACCCTTGTTAAGGGGACCAATGAGTTCGTGTCAGACTCGTGCTGTTGCTCCAACATGTGTCCCCCATCACCAGGGTGTATTATATTAACCTCAGCTGTGAGCCAGCTCATCGCGATTCAACGTGTGATTCTTGCTGGTGAAGCTAAGATCAAATTAAGTCTCATCGCCATTGAGTTGTGCAAAAAATACCTGTAGATTCGCTGCGGAAACGAACCCTACTCGTGGACAAGTTGTCTTCAGATTCACCAGTTTTTTTTATTGGTTACATTCTTTGTCGAACAAAGATCCTAAGATTACCGAAGAATCTCCTGTGATCTAAGTCAACTACAGTGTAGGTTAACTGGAACGTCTTCGTTATTCATGAACGAGCAGAAGCTCATCCGGGAACGTACTTATACTGGCCCACATCGTACACTGGTTATTTTCTAACGTGCCGTCAACTTGTTTTGAGACTGTAAAACCCTACAAAACAATAGAGAGACGCCGTCCTCATTTTAAGCAATACTCAGTTAGTAATCCCTTACATGAGATCTATCAGAAGGCTATCCGCATGGAATCACATTACTTATCATTAAAATAGACTGTCCATGTTCTCAGGGATAGATAGCTCAAGCTGACACCGAAGAGAAAAACGTGAACCAACCTACTGTTCGAAGTAGTTGCCTTTCTGGTTTCGTCCTACCCCTAACTCTTGTAGATGAGTCTACTGAAGGCACTATCAAAATCCATTAAATTCGAACAAATGAGGGACCCTGCCCTCCCTAGAGTGAATTATTAAATTGTTGTATTACTTTGTAGGTCTACCAAAGTAGCGGCAATTGGTTTGTGTAGAACATAGAACAATAAATTTATTACCCACTTCAAACTTTATATTATCAGCTTCAGAAAACATTGGATAGATACCTAACTGTCTAGCGGCAACATAAAACACGAAGAATGAACAAAGCGAGTCGCCGGGGTACTTGCTAATGATGTTAGAGATTTCTGTCGTTTAGGTATGAGAGGAGACAACAAACGGAGTAAACGATTAGTCAGGCTGAGTGGAAACGTCTTATACTTGATAGCAGGTGTCAGACCACTTTTGTACACACACCGCACTATAGGTTCAAATCTTTAGGAAACCCACACGAGCACTTCCCTTATCTATCAGATAACCGCAAGTTAGGGTCTTTCTAGTGGATTAGAATTACAGGACAGTTTCTTGAAGCGTATCAAACGTCATAAACTTTATGACCTCGGTATGACACTCTCCACACACAAGCTCTATTCGAAGTCACTGAGGGACAACAATACGAATCAATCCTTAAACATTACCTACCAAGATAACAGGTGGAAAACAATTTTCGGAGGATTGCATCTTTGATTGCATTGCCACTTTTTATCTAGTGGATCCGTACCGTTTTGGATAAAAAGTAGCAAAACAGAAACCGGGAAAAATTACTAAAAATCTTTTTATGTACAAAGAGAAAGTTCCTTGAACATTAATGAACAAGAAAAACATAAGTCCTTCTCAATAACCCCAGGAACTGTTTTTTTACTAGAAGAATCAGGGTTGGATAAAGAAGAAGAATGTATCATAGATTCCGTAGCCAACCTATCAGGATCATTAGAAGAGTCAGTATTGGATATAGGAAACTAAAATAGAAAAAAAAACTTAAATACTCAAAAAATACATCAACGATTGACAAGTTACAGGAATTAAAGAACAAATACAAATATATTGAATATGGTACAATAAGGTTTTAAGTGAACTAACACAAACCTGACTTAGTGCTATCAACCACTTTTAAGTCACTTAAAGCGTTCGATTTAAGTATTTCAGTGAGCGGAGTAACAACACAGTGTAAGATAAGAAGGCCAGATTAGTTGTCGGATATCTGATCAACAAATTACCTACCCCTTCAATCAATGATCTCAAATAGGATTTTTCTTTTAAAAATCACATAAGTTCACCGATGACATTTTTATTGACGTTGAGTCATGCAATTGATACCAGTTGCTTCTTGGTACATTATAATATACTTTTACGATTGCTCATATAGTTTATGCCCGATGACCAATAATCTACAATTATATGCTCAGACCGAAAGCACATGAAATATTCACCACTAAACTGAAGTACTCAAAATATGATTTTATTAGTCCCACATAGATAAAAGTAGACAGCAGTGAGCCAAATAATCAATATGAAAACTGATGATGACACCACAATGATACACATCTGGTGTATCCAACTGATGTCGACAGACATAAGTAGTATATAACACTGACCAGAAGTGGAATGCCTGTCAAAAGAGGATTAAACTGAAGAAAGGAATTGAGAAGCAGTGAAAAACTATCTAGAACCAACTTTGACTGCAGAACCCTCAACAAGAGACAAATAGAGGACTGATGACTAGTGTAGCAGCAAGCAGCTAAGATAAGGAATAGTCGGTTAGCGAAATTACAGAATATTTATGCAATATGTACACCTAGTCTTCATTCATCCATTTTTATCTTGTGTTTTCTGCAATCTAAGTTGGTTCTGGACTGTCTTTTCTTCCAATCTTGTGAGTAACCATCCCCACACTCACCCCCTGTGGAATTGTTGAGCCTCCAGGCGTGCTGACCTCTATTGACCTTTCATCACCAGCTGTGATCTATCAGTCTACTGAATCCACTTTTGAAGCTGGCTAGCGTTCAAGCGCTTCTCTATGTCACCTTTCTTGATGATATGTGCGATAGAAACAAAGAACGGACGTAAATAGATCCGAACGGTATCAAGGGAAGCAGTAGTTCTTTTCAATAGGAGATTAGGTGAAATGTAGAGAACGAAAAGGGAAAAGAGAAGGAGGACTTAGTTTGTAAAAAACAGCTGCTAAAGTGAGGGGGACTATATGCGTATATCACGAGGTGCCATCGGCTTACTCCTACACTAAGAGCCTTCTTTGTAAAATTAGTAAAGGTTTCTCGGGATTACTTTACGTTGTTTTAGTTACAAATCGACCTCATGAAGATTACGTTATGATGAATAAAACTGATAGATTTAGGTATACTCAAATGTTTTCCGGAATAAAACTTTCATTTCAAGATTGAGAAATGGATGAATTAGGAATCACATATAGTCATTGACTCATAAAGTGATAAAAATGTCTAATATAACATAGAAAATATTGACAACCTACATGACAGAAACTACATGTCATTTTAGAGTCATTTTCCAACACAATTTTCGAAGATGTTCTATATGGGAAAAGAAAACAATGTGATTAAAACAAATAAGCAAATCTTGAAAATACATGTTATTCATCTATTTAATAACAAAAAACTGATATATTTCGATAATATGGTTATTGAACATCAACAAATTTAGTGCGTTTCATAGTCTTAAAACAAGTACAGAACTAACACAAAAAGCTTGTGTGTGTCCGACCTCAAGCAGTTGTCCATTGGGCACTACGGTCACGCTCTCAGATCATTAAGACCACTTTTAATCCAATTTTCTTTTCAGGTACCTCTAGAAGAACCCCTCCACAGTGTGGGCAACCCTCATACCTCTAAAAGCACTCAAGATCACTAATACACTCCTCTATAAAAAGCCTAAATCATGTTTTGAATGACAGTTAGATAATATTGTTTAATAAAACACCCATGTGAAGTCATGAAGCAAACGATATTGATTATATTTGTGAATAAAGTTATACAAATAGAGGAAAATAAAAAGATTTCAAAGGTAACAACAACGGTTCAGTGGAAAAGAAGTTGAGTGATCACCTATTTGTGAATGTTTTGTAGTGACTATTACGACTACACAAATAGATTTACTTTGAGTTAACTGGAATCATTTACTTGCCTAAGTCATGAATAATGTGCACTTAAAAGCTAATAGTTTATTGATTGGAATTTACAAACGTAAAGAGTTAACCATGATAGATTACAACTGTATAGTGTGAATCTGGTCATCAGTTGTGTTACAAAGTCGTTCCACTGAATTACACAGTAATCGTATTGTATAGAATACTAGATTTTTGGGATATGATTGTTACATAACAGTTAAGGTATTTTATTTCACTAAATTATTTTGATAACTCAGTTTGATATTGTATAGCATAAGAAACAAGACATAGTAAATTTTCTTTGTATCATAAAGCTTAGTGCTCTGTTTGCTCTTTTAAATTTGCCATGGAAACTTGATTTATAAGATAATATTCACCCCAAATGACCTAGTACGGCTGAGAGTGGGGAGAGTCCTCTCTCCCTCTCCAAATGCTCTCACATGGCCACGCGTATATAGCCTCTTCCAGGGAAGTCCTACTCACTGCCTTCAAGTGGCATTACGGTTCTTTACGAAATTGAGAGGATGAAAGGCAAATGTCCGGCTCTTTAACCGGGTTGGTGGACACGGCGCGTCCACCTAGGGGAGTTAGAAAACACTGATTCCAAACCAATGGTGTACATGGACTTCAGTATCCTGAGGGAACAAACGGCGTATGAATCAGTTGTTGGTCACCGGCTACCATGGGACTGCATCTCCTCACGATGCTCCATTACCTTGTGGGTTAGACCTTTAGGTCACAGGCTCCGGGTGTGGCCCCTTAAGAAAGCCACTTGCTTCAGTTTAGGCACTTGGGCAGTATCACAGCCCTCATGCAAATCGAATGAGATTTGTGCGTCGTATATGTATCTGGTGTTTCCTTGTACCAATATTCATGTGTTTAAATAAATAACTCGATAAAATTCGATTGGCCCTAAAGCCTACAAACAAACATGACATTAGTTACTAATTGGTGATCAATCATCAGTGTACAATATAACAATATATATAACACAAGCGGATAAAGTGAACTAACCTAAGAATAGTTCCAGTAGTTGATGGGAATCCACCAGCTTGTAATCCAGATAAGAAATCCTGAGTTAATCTTTCCAATGTATTGACATTAGGATTTTTAAGCACAATCGATGTTAATGGATTATTGGGTGTAACATACTCCAAATGCATGAAATGAGCGAATAAAGCTATTTCTTTCGCCAAAAAATCACGTAATGGTCTAACAATTGTTATATCTTGGTATCGTTCATCAAAGAATGACTGTAATCAATTAAAGAAAACGTCTTACTAGTCATTTAATTAAAGGTGGCAAAGAAATCTAGAATGCAAGTTTTCTACTATATGTAATGTGTGGCTACATGAACTAATGCAAATTTGCATCAGATCACACCCCGACAATGATCTATTGAACACTTGTAGCACTGAAGTCGAATTTCACACTCATCACACTTGCTATGATGCGAGTTTAGAGTTCAGTTTAGCGACCTATCGATTTCGTTTGTAAACTATGATACCTCACTCCGACTTACCGCTTGTTTTCATCAATGGGAAATTCAAATTGTTGATTTTTGGGAGTAAAAAGTGGAAAACGCGATACTACACATGCTGCATGAAAAGATAAGGTATAGACATTTATCCATCGGTTCATTTACTTTAGTCAACCAAAAGAATCGCAATGGTAGACTAGCTTGGAAACGCTGTAAAGATATGTGCACAATAATCAGATAAGATTGTGACATTAAGGTAATGGATGGTGAATTTAAGATTTAAGTCTCAGTACGAACATCACGACTAACTGATATCCACACATGCCTAACTGCAGGGAATCAGAAAAGACGACCACCCCCCCCCCCAAAATTCCAGTAGTCAATATCTTAATAAAACATAGAGTTAGAACAAGAAATGAGCATCAGTTGTCTATCAGTAGTCACCAAAATATGGAGATGAAACAAAAAATAACGAACGATACTACAATAAAAGAGCGTACCAAAAACTGGTAGGGGTTAGAACTTTTTCGTGTTCAATTTCGAATACATCGTAACACCAACACCTTAAGTTACATTATTTGACACTGAGAAACGGTGAGGGTTTAATAAAGCGATCCGATAAGGTTGTGGGTATCATATTACTAAATATGTATTACCATAAAATTGTCATGAATATATGGTTGGTAGACACGACGAGTCCACCTAGGGGAGTTGCAAAACCCTCATTCCAAAACAATGGTGCACATAGGCTCCAGTATCCTGAAGGAACAAATGGCGTATGAACCAATCGTTGGTCACCGGCTACCATGGGACTGCATCTCCTTACGATGCTCCACTGTCCTGTGGACTAGACCTTCAGGTCAGAGGCTCGGGGTGTGGTCCCCTAAGAAAACCACCTGCTTCAGTTTGGGCACCTGAGCAGTATCATAGCCCTCACACAAATCAAACGAGATTTGTGCGGCGCATATATATCTGGTGCCTCCTTGTGTTTAAATAAATATATAAATAACATGAATATATATAATCTAAGCATAATACTGCAGACGATATTACCTGGCTAGACTGCTACGAAAAACATATTACGTAGCCTCACTATGAGTGTCCTACACTAGCCGTATATTATTACGCAATCGCATACACAACAAGTCACCTCGATAGGCAAATCAGATATGGGTACACTTATTTATCTGCTTCTATGAAACTAATTCCATCGGTCATCCATCGTCTCCTGACGTATTTGAGGGCAGCTCACAGGGCGGAACAGTAAATGACAAAACTCCATGATAATTAAAATCCCTTATCTAACAGCACACGGTTGACTATGATCATAAAATTTTGTGACCAATATTCAAGACTATTTACGAGGTCGAACCGAATCCACCAAGTCTTACTCACATATTTCTCCACTACAGGAGCATTAGAGACATAACATGAGACTAAAAATATGTGTACAAAAATAGTTTGTAAGGTCGCTTTTATTGTCACGACCCTTAGTGTCATTTTGTAGATGTATCTTCAACCATTAATCTCCTATAGGTCCTGTCATCTCGGATCAGCTTAATGATTTAGTTTATATATCGATTTATTTTACTCATTGTTAAGAATTACACTGCATGAATACTACTCACTATAGACATGCACATACTAAGATCCAATATCTATCTACCAAGTCATATTTATAAAAATATACTATTATACAGCTTTTGACAATAAGATTGAACTTGCACCTATTGGACCAACACAAGTCACTGGAGTCAGCTGGTACATTTCCCAGTTAACCAGACAATTTCACCACCTTAAAACTTAGTAGAATGTTCAGTTTTGTGTCGTGGAGATTGTTGAACTCCACTGAAATCATCAACTGATCCGCGTTAGACCACCATTAAAAACTTGGAAGCACTGAACGGCGGTTTCGTCCTAGCATGGGACTTCTCAGAAGTGTGCATCTATTATCTCGGGATCGTAGTTTTTAATGGTGGTCTAACATCGATCGGTTCATGATTTCAATAGAATGTAATAAAACTATAATGACTGGGTCTCGACACAAGTTGTGATTTTCTTGGCTTGATCATGGCCGAAAATTTAAATAAAAAAACGTGAATGAGCATTTCGGATGCAACAAATTGAACCACTATCACTGTCAAGGGATTGCTCTACCTGTAATTAGCTTGCGTATGTCCGAATAGGTTGGTTTGATCGATCAGTCACTCAGTCAAAACGTAGAACTTCGCATGTACGTACAGCAGTTCGAGTTGTTATCGAGAAGTATTGTAAACCTCCAAAGGTTTGACCCAAATCTGAACACAGAAACCCATATTTTGTTGTGCTGTGTTCTTCTCTACGTCGCTAACAATAAAAAATCGGTAACTCGGTTTCCATATTCACCACATGATGGATAAGTTGTAAAAACCTCATATTCTTAAAACTCTAATAAGAACATTAGAATGCAATGTTAGTGATTTGAAATACCTTTTATTTTCTAGCCTAATTAACTGACAATAAGAGTAAGAAGTAAAACTATAATAAAATCTTTAAATCCTAATTTCCTCACAACTAAGACATCTTTGATACAAAGCTGAGTTATCAACTTCTAGTTAATTGACTTTCCTTTCTCAGAAAAAGAAACAAAATCTCAATGGTAAATGAGTCAAAGGATTGTTTACAATTAAAACCTATTTACAAATACCATTAAAACTGTCTGATAAATACCTACTGAAGAAAATATACATACATAATAATTGACTAAGGAGTGGTCAACTATCCAAGTTTCCTATTCCTCAACCTTTTTGTTGTACTTATATCTTTCTTGATAAGTTGTAAATTGCATCATATTATTCTGTTCATTGTTTATGGTTTGTGACAAATATTAACTAAGTAACATTATTCAACTATTACGTACTTGGTGTTCTTATCACAATAAAAACGATTTGTAGCCACAAACTAACCTCTCTAAATAATCTATAAAGGTGCGCAATGACCATTAGGTTCTGATTTTTTCTGACTGAAGAACTTTACAGATATAAGAGAACTAACTTTACTAAATGAGGTATCTTTTATATAGTTGAAATCATGAGTCAATTGAAGCTAAACCACCATGGAAAACTTTGAAGCATTCGACGGCCGTTTCGTCCTACTGTGGGACTCCTTAGCAGTAAGCATACACGATCTCGCATAACGAGATTCAAATCCAGGACCTATCAGTCTCGTGCGCAAGCGCTTAACCACTAGACCACTGAGCCGACATCCAATGGTGTTAATGTCTAACTTCAACCAATCCACGAAATTGAGCGACCATTCACCATTGTCTTTAATGAGTTACTATCTCACAACAGACCTGGTTGAACTCCACTGATCACTGCTTCTCACTAGTACTCCAGGAAATACCTCATGGAGCCAGTCACTAGTGAGCATATGATCTTTTGTTTAGCTTATAGATAAAATGTGCTTATTTCTGAACAATAATCCAGTTAAGAAACACCATGCTTAGATAGTCATTATCAATTTATGATCTGGTACAAAATTTTATCGGTTCAAGTTATCATACTTCTATGTCAGGACAATGAGATAAAATCAAGAAAGGATAATATCGAAGATAGCAAGAGTTATAAACATGAACTATATACTCTAAAAAAGGAAATGGTATCAATAAGCTTGCAATTATCTATACATCAGAAAGATTAGTCACAATGACAGTATACACTAAACAAAACATTGTAAGGAAAGATGGGCCGTGGCCAGCAGTGGAATCTAGGACGCGCGTTTCGTCCTATTTGGGACTCGTCAGCTGAATGTGCCTGTATCTCAAGGTTGATATTCACTCTGGGACTCGAACCCAGTACCTTTCGCTTCAAACGCCATCGCGTTATTATCCACTCAGCTACTGAGTCCTGATAGCCACTTGCTTGTGCAATGGGGTGAAGTTTAAATTCGAGTCCTAAAGTGAACATCAACTGTAAGATGTAGGTACATCCAGTTGAGGAGTCCCAAATAGAATGAAACACGCGTCCACCTGAATTCCCCTGCTAAACACAATCCATCTTTGCTTAGAATGCTTGTGAATTAAGGATATATCGAGGCAATACGCACAGTTTGCACCAGGATGCTCAAACATCAAGTAATACTCAGGGGATCTAAACAAAACAGTTGTAACCATAGTAACAACAACAAACAATAAATACTAATAATAACTTACTGTTTGTATACTACTATAATTTCCACGACCTTCTATTATTTCTAATAAATATTTCACTGTCATTCTATTACTACAATCACCCATCATTAAATATTTACAATTCAGTTTTTTTGTACATTTAATTAATAAATTTAATCGATAATAATCATGATAACGTTGTTTATTACTAAGTGTTGAAGAAGTCAATTGACTAGTCCATTTCTCATTTACTTCTGTAATCTTTATTGAAAAATACAAGTTAATTAAAAGGAAATGTATGAAGAGGGATATGCGACATTACTTCATTCATTGTAATATTATAATATTCCATACCACTATTCTTCATTATTTTTGTAATTAATTCTAAATTAGCTGGTGAATCGGATGATTCTTTAAATGAAAAAATTAATAAATTTAAAATAAAAAAATTTTGTCCTCATACCAACAAGATGGAATACCTTTGGCACATTGTTTGGATTTCGTTTCATTATTCCATTATTATCATTATCCTAAATACAAATAATTTACATTATTATTATTATTAGTCTAAAAACAATTAATTAACATTATTTTATATAGTTGAAATCATGAGTCAATTGAAGCTGGACAAACATGGGAAACCTGGAAGCACTGGACGGCCATTTCATTCGATTGTGGAACTCCTCAGCAATGCGCATCCACGATCCCGCACCCAAATGCCCTGGTACGGCAGAGAGTAGGGAAAGTCCGTTCCCCCTCTCGAAATACTCTCACATGGCCATACGTATATAGCCTCTGACAGGGAAGTCCTACTCACTGCCTTCTCACGGCAGTACTGTTGTTTACGAAATCGAGAGGACGAAAAGCGAATGTCCAGTGCTTTAACGGGTCGGCGGACACGGAAAGTCCATCTAAGGGAGTTGGAAAACCCTCATTCCAAACCAATAATGCACATGGGCTGGCTCCAGTATCCTGAGGGAACAAATGGAGTATGAATCAATTGTTGGTCACCGAATACCATGTGACTGCATCTCCTTACGATACTCCACTCCCTTGTGGACCAGATCTTTAGGTCAAATGCTCCGGGTGTGGCCCCCGGAGAAAACCACCTGCTTCAGTTTGGGCACCTGGGCAGTATCATAGCCCTCACACAAATCAAGAGAGATTTGTGTGGCGCATAACAATATTTATGTGCTTAAATAAAATAAATAATAAATAAATCCCGCCTCTCGAGATTCGAAGCCAGGACCTATCAGTCTCGCGCGCAAGCACTTAACCGATAGATCACTGAGCCGGCATCTAATGGTATTAATGTTTAACTTCAACCAATCCACAAAATTAAGCAGCCATTCACTAATGTATTCAGTTAGTTGATATCTCCCAACTGATACGTCCTGTATTCGGATCTCGCGAGACGGGGTTGCGGATACGCACTGCTGACGAGACCCACAATCGGTTGAAACAGCCGTCCAATGCTCTCAGGTTTTCCATGGTGGTCTAGCTTCAATTGACACAAGATCTCAAGTGTATAAAATTACTAAAATCTCCACAAAACCCACTTCTGATAACTTACATTATTATAGTTATTATTATAAATAAAATGATCACAATTACCTTCAGTATTAATTTTAATAAAGTTGATGAATTTTGACCACCTGAATAAGCTATAGCCATATTATTCATTATAGAATTTAATTTATATTTTCCAAATATTGTATTTAGTTTATGATAACATTGATTAATAAAACATGATCTAATCAAGTAAATGGATTGATAATCAGAATCAAGTTCATTACTTGCATAATGATGGATCATCTTTTCTAATTAATACAGCTGGTGGAGATTGACATTTAATACAATGTGATATCCTTTTTGAAGTAGACTATAATTTAGATGGATTACCTTTCTTTCTTTTTAGAAATTGAAGTGAATAAACAAGAACAATCTTCTTCTTGATTACACATTAGATTATGATTGTTATTGTTATCTAGATAAACAAGAAGCAACTATGAAGACTGAATTGTATAGATGATTTGGATCTGAAAATGTAAAATTTCGGATATGATCATATGTGATGCATATATATATATATATATATATATATATATATATATATATGTTTAAATAAATAAAACGAAGCGAAATCGTGTACAAATATACGCTAGTGGCTATCGTAACCAATCGTTGGAGACTCGTCGGTGACATGGCTCAGAATCTATCACAATGGTGTAGGTGTATACACAGTCTTTATCTTCCCTTAAACCTTAAGATTAAAATTGCCTCATAACGTTCTTCCTTCTTATACTATATCCTTATATACAACCTATATTTTATATATTACCACCATTAAATTAACTATTTCTATGAATCCGGTGTTCATCTTGTTGTGCTAACCAGGTATGGCAACTTGGACAGATGCATACGTGTGCCTGGTCCTACGTTGTAGCTGACTGACTGACATCAGTACAATAAAACGACATTACGAAGATAAGGAGTAATAGTAGTATCAGTGATCGTATTCAACATTACACATGAAGAGTATTACTCAGTGAAAACAAATGACGAGCAGACATCTAAGAAATATGAGAGCTTAATATCTAGCGAAAGATAAAGGATAAATACTTCCTAGCTGACTTGAGGTTACATCATCCGATATTTACAAGTAGTGATGGTAATTATCACGCAGACCTCAACCAGTTAGTCTGGATCGATGTGTAGACATAAGAATGGCTGTTTGAGGCACTTGCCTTTGATTCGTTGAACAACCCTGTGACGGTAGATTATAATTCAGAGGGTTTTTCTAGACTTACTGATATACCAGATGTCCTAATTAAACGTGTTTTCATTGTTCTATATCAACAACCAAATTAAACAAGATTGTTCAATGTAGGTACTATCATCAACAGTATTCTGGAAACGGCTGTGGGAGGATTGAATGATGGTGGTATAGGTTAAGTATCGTATAAAAGCTCGCCAACTCACAGCACGTAGTTATCTTTTTATTATGCGATAATAATATAGGTTCTCCAAGTCGCAACCCGAAGGCAAGAGATTGGCGTCCGTAATTACGATATATACTTTGCACAGTCTTCTACAAAACTACCAAGAGTCTGTGTTTAAGTTCACCCTTTGCGATTATCGTGAGGATTCTACACAAAAAGTATACACTTACCAAGGTTTAGTCAGATAGTGAATCATATTAAGGGTTAAATGGGTTTTTATTTACCCCATTCTATACATCTTTCAACCTACTCTCATGCTAATTACAACTTCCGCCAGAAGCATCTGAAGTATGTTACGTATGATACTATCACCTTAAGTAGGTAGCTTAGCTGACTAACTGCATAGACTGACCTAATAAAGTTTATGGGCAACAAACTTATCTGTTGTAGTGATTAATTTTCAAATCATAAACCAGGAACGACGGATACAACGCCTTCACTATGTACCCATTGGGTTTTGAGTTTTTTACAAAATCTCATGGAGATAAACGTTAAAACTAAATGTCCCATACAAACCTTTTTGTTAATATTATAATAACTATAGCAGCTGAAGAAAATAGTTCATTTAACACCAAATTATTCTGTTCCCCGAATATCTACCAATGACTTGAATGAGACAATGATGTCAGCTTATTGCCTACAGTAAAAGGCTTTCAGTGACATCTCGGTATCCCATCCGACTGGTCACAATCACTGATTGTCCCAATATATAAAAAGGGGTCAAAATCATCCTGCGATAACCATAGAGGGATTAGTCTGACTAACATAGCATCTAAAATACTAGCCTCAATAATTATCGGGCGCCTAACTAAGACTCGTGAACTGCAAACACGAGAAAATCAGGCTGGCTTCAGACCTGGTCGTGGCTGTATCGACCACATATTCACCATTCGTCAAGTTTTAGAGCACAGACACGCTTATCGGCGTCCGACAATGATAGTTTTTCTTGACTTGAAAGCAGCATTTGACTCTGTAGACCGAGAGGTTCTGTGGCAGTGTCTGTCATTGAAAGGTGTACCTGAGAAGTACATAAACCTTGTGAAGGCTCTTTACTCGAACACTATTAGTCGAGTGAGAGCTTATGGCGAACTGTCATATGATTTTACAACCTCATTTGGTGTCCGTCAAGGCTGTCCACTATCCCCATTTTTGTTTAACTTCATTATAGACATGTTGCTGGAAATAACACTCTCTTCGACTGAATCTACAGGAATTGATCTCCTACCAGGGGGACCACTAAGCAACTTAGAATACGCAGATGACATAGTCCTGTTTGGTGAAGACGCTGGCAAAATGCAGTCTTCTGTTGGAACTCAGTAATAATGCCAGGATGTTTGGGATGCGTTTCTCCCCATCCAAATGTAAATTGTTACTTCAGGACTGGCCTGCGTCAACACTCGAACTAAGGATAGGGAGTGAAGTAGTCGAACGCGTCGACAACTTCACTTATCTTGGAAGTCTGATCAGCTCTAATGGGTTGGTGTCTGACGAAATCTCTGCACGGATTCAAAAAGCTCGTTTGGCTTTTGCCAACTTACGTCACCTATGGCGTAGACGAGATATCCGTCTATCAATTAAGGGACGAGTATACTGCGCATCAGTTCGCTCTGTTCTACTTTACGGCTGTGAAACATGGCCATTAAGAGTAGAAGATACTCGTAGGTTACTAGTATTTGACCACAGATGCCTTAGAAATATTGCTCGCATCTGCTGGGATAACCGGGTAAGTAATAGTGAGGTTAGACGCAGGGTATTAGGGAACGATGGTAAATCAGTTGATGAATCTTCATCGACTGAGATGGTTCGGCCATGTGTTACGTATGCCTGAACACCGATTACCACGACGCGCTATGATGACTAGTATTGGGGACGGTTGGAAGAGAGTTAGGGGCGGCCAAACCAAAACATGGCATCAGTGTTTGAAGTCACTAACTTCTAGCCTGAGCCATGTTGGCAGATGCAGACTACCTGGTTGGGGTCCGCGTGACTATCGTAACCAATGGTTGGAGACTCTGTGTGACATGGCTCAGAATCGATCACAATGGCGTAGGTGTATACACTCTTTATCTTCCCTTAAACCTTGAGACTAAAATTGCTTCATATCTCTCTTCCTTCCTGTACTATATCCTTATATACAACCTATAATTTATATACTACTACCAACACTAAATTAACTACTAGGAATCCGGTGTTCCTCTTGTTGTGCTAACGAGGTATGGCAACTTGGACCGATGCATATATGTGCCTGGTCCTACGTTGTAGCTGACTGACTGACTGACATCTCGGTATGAATCATGGATATACCATTAGTGGCTAACCATTCTTCCTATTTATTTTTGTCATTTTTAGGTTTGACCATTTTTGTGCTTCTAGTGATATATTGCTTTTCCACTGCTGATAAACCGAGTACACATATGCATTTATGGATTGAGAGGTATTTTAACTACTAAATGGCTTATATGGTACTAGTTATCAAAAACGACATGATTTGGAAGTAAAATAAGGTGAAACGGTTGCTTTTTTTAAATGTGGATTTTATATGAAAGGTATTTTCACAAAGATTTCTTCTTTTCTTTATCCCAAATAAACCATCAGTCAAATCACTTTATTGTTGACTCATTTAATAATAGTCACTCTCAGATCCTATAGATTGTTTAAAATCACTATGAATTTTATTTATGTTCTTAGACTGTTGTTTCGAGATATTTTATCGACCCTTAGGGATATTTTGCATCAATATCGTGAGAGCCATATTAAATATCAGAGTGGGTTTTGTGGAGAATTTAGTATTTTAACAGTTGAAATCATGAGTCAATTGAAGCTAGACCACCATCGAAAACCTGGAAGCACTGGACGGCCGTTTCGTCTTATTATGGGACTCCTCAGCAGTGCCCATCCACGAACCCGCTCTCGCGAGCGAGATTCGGACCCAGGACCTACCAGTCTCGAGCCGAAGCCCTTAACCGATAGACCACTGAGCTGGCATCCAACGGTGTTAATGTCTAACTTCAACCAATCCACGGTTTTGAGCGACCGTTCACCAATTGTCTTCAGTGAGATGATATCTCTACAACAGACCTGGTAGAACTCCACTGGCCACTGCTTCCCACTAGAACTCAAGGAAATATCTCTTGAAGTCAGTCACTGGTGAGCATATGAATATATAACCGATATCGGTTAAGGGCTTCGGCTCGAGACTGGTAGGTCCTGGGCTCGAATCTCGCTCGCGAGGGCGGGTTCGTGGATGGGCACTGCTGAGGAGTCCCATAATAGGACGAAACGGACGTCCAGTGCTTCCAGGTTTTCGATGTTGGTCTAGCTTCAATTGACTCATGATTTCAAACCATATTAAATAATCTTAAAGAGCATTCGTACCCTATTTAATGATCCACGTATAAACTAATAATCCCAGAAATGTATCTCGGGCAAAAGTAGTCTTACTTTAGGACAACGATACTCAATGGCTTTCTAAATTATTTCCGATAAACAAATTCATTTTACTCGCTAAAGCTGTCACGTTTGGAATGTCCCTTCGAGATGCATTAGCATCTTTGAGATGGGTTCTAATTCCAGTTGCTTTGCATTGAAACTTGACATGGAGTATTTAAAACCTTTTATTTGTGATTCCCTTTGACGTTGAAACGCTTTGTCGTACGTTTTGATTTTGTTTGTAGAGGTTACTCTCAGATCAGGCAACGGTTCTGCAACTATGATGTCGTCAGAATTTAAAGCTAGATCGACAATGACAACCACATGATCTATTGCACATGATAAACCAGCGTCTACTGGAACACTCACGTTGTTAAAAAGCTTGAGTACAATTTTCAGCACCTTGATAGTATTTTTACACAGAGGGATTCCCATGAGCAACATAATTTGAACAAATATCGTGAAACCTATCTGCAACACTATTTGTAGCAGAGGTTAGTTCAATAAGTGCTTTGCGGTACCATACATTGCAG